TTTCCTACGTGGATCATTGATCCTCAACTACATGATGATATCGTAAGGATGAACTTCCTCTCTCACACAAGTGATGGTTTGACGGATCAAGGGACTTGCGAGAGACCAATCGACGCGGAATTGAATCATCTCGAGCATGTGCGTCGTTTGTGGTTAGGCCATACCCCAAATACGGCTTCGGAGATGTCAGGCTTGGAGCAGCTTCCAGGAATGGAATCAGAATCACCACCTTCATGCGAAACAACCGAAATGGGCGATCGGAACTGTCAAGATATCAGGGCACGCTTACGAATTGACCCCTACGAACCATACGTTCCTTCTGTGGAGGCTGTGAACATGGGTATTCGAATGTATTTCGCCAAAGCCCATCCCATGTTCCCGGTTGTCCACGCAGCCACTTTCAAACCGTGCAGAGGGAGTGCAAGTCTTTTGGCATCCATGTGTGCGCTAGGCGGCCTGTTTACTGGCTCCGAACATGGATTACAGCAAGGAATACACCTTATTGAACGTATAATCAAGGCGACACTCCAGAGCTGGGAGCACATCATTGCCAAAAATCTGGACATGCTGATACCAATTATCCATAACGCGGTCATAGCACAATTGTTTGGCCTTCTGTCAGGAAGCTCTACCCTACTACTTGCTGTAGATGCTTTCCACGGTCCACCAATACTCTGGGCAAGGCATTTACGGTTGCATACCAAAGAACACAAATTTTTTCTCGACTTCAATGCTGACAACGCAAAATTGAATGAAGCCTGGCATGAATGGGCCCACGGCGAGGAGGTCCTACGGATGAGGCATAGCCTTTTTATTATTGATGCCGAGTTGGCAAGCATACTGCACCGCGAGCCACTCCAGAGCTTTCAATCATACAACCTGTCCCCGACCTGTTCAGAGAATGTCTTTATCGCGTCGAATGCCCTAGCTTGGAAAGCAAGTTACCACGCGGAATTACAGGCGCGAAAACATCAAATTCTTACTTTGAACTTCGGCGTCACGCTTTTGGAACCAAAAACCCTCGAGCAAGTGCCATCAACAAGCCAATTCACTGCGTATGCAATCCTACAAAGCTTCAGCATTCATGTTTTGTCGTTCAAAGCGCAGGATGTCACGACCCACCATTCAACAGAACACTTTCACCGACCGCTCAATTATTTTTATCATCATTTTTTAGAAGCGTATCTTGATACATCATTACCCAATGATCCACTGCAATTGATTGTTTTGTGGCATTTAGTATACATGGAAATATATGCTGACTTCAATCTCTTAGAAATGGCTGTGGGTCGTGAGGGATGCAAACTTTCAGAGGAACAATTCTCCACTCTTCTCTCTTGGGCAGATTCTGAAGATGCATTCAGGTGCGTTCTTCACGGTTTGATGATCCGCAAACATATCCAGGCTATGAGCCTCGCTTCTGAGCCTGCTATACATACTCCTAGGGCTCTTTTTTGGACTGGCCTGGTGTTATTTTGCTATATACGTTTTAGCTCAAACACCAAAGCACCGGCATCACGCATATCATCCGAAGTCCGCCAATTTCCAGAACTATATCTTTCTGGCATGGATGTCTCCATCCTACTCCCGGAGCTCAGAGAGGCAAAGGCCGAGGTTAACTTTTCTCTTAAAGCTATTTTATTGTCAGCTGTTGATTTATTGGACAAGATTGGGCATTGGGGAGTCTCACGCAGGTTTTCGGCTTTACTAAGAGCAATTTGCGATTACGCCTTCTGCTGTAATGAGAGTTGGGCTTGAGAGATTGAATACTCGCGCAAATCAATTCCTCCAACCAGTCAAACAAAACCCGTATTCTCCCTGCATGGAACTTAGTATTGCCAGAGCGCTACAGCCACTAAGTGTTCAAATGCCGCAGCTTACAAAAGGCGTACTCAGAGCCATCAAAAGACAGCGCTTATCCAAGGCATTCAAAAACCCCCAGAGATGTCATTTCTGCCATATCGACTACCTCATCACGGCGCAGATTACGCACGTGGTTTTCTACAATTTTAGGCTGGCACGGAAAACTCTGTTTAGGTTACCTGAGAGGACTAATGCCTTTGACTAGACGGTAAATCCAGAATCTGATTCCTACTAGCTGACTACATGTCTCATCGACAGTTGGGATAATATTTGGCGTTGAGGTATACCATGAAAACCATATGTCTGTTCCACGCTGAGCTCAAAATTTGAGAAGAGGACTAGGCAAGCCGCACGATAGACAGGCGATATAGACCGAATAAGCAGGACATTGCAGGTGGCTCAGGGCTCCTGAGAGATCAACAACTTGAGTCAGCGCCGAAAGTATAGTATAGTCGCTTAGGTTGCTTGATTGATTATATTAAGGTTTGAATCAAAACTTCTAAACGTGTCTACTTTCAGCTTACTTGTATTGAACTCAAGTAATTGAAGGATCTTTGATCATGAGGATCATGACTCATATAGCTTATATAGTAAGTATCGATATCTGTTTTTATTCCTTGAAACTGGACTAGCTGAATTCAAATCAGCACGGCTTAATTGGGGCAAATTAGTAGCTTCTTTAGCCTGCCTAGTACAAAAGGCTGATTTCTCGATGTTTCGATACATGACCCATAACCCATACAATTTTATGCCTGCCACAGGAAGCTACCAGTAGGTTATTAGATAGAGATACAGTAATACCTAGCTAACTGGAATATAATGTGCTAGGTATGAGATGATATAGCTTATGAAAGTTATGGAGATTGATTCACAACTCAAGCCTGTTTACTTGGATGCAGGAGATTCGTATAGTGTTAATGTTGTTAAACCATTAAGGTTACTTCGGGCACATTCATTAAAGAATTTGAATATCTACGAAAGTGGCAAGTTCTCGGATGTTGAGAACAAATGCCATATATTTAGATTCACAGTGCATAGTTGCATCATCGCCTTCAACAAACCTAGCTTGAACAGTTTTCTCTGCAGAAAAAGGTCAATCAGGCTATACAGCAACGTATGCAGTGATGAAGCTGACAGATTGAAGGAGGCAATATCAAGGAGCGATAATTATAGATGAGCATCTTGTACTTGTTGAGGAAAAGATGATCAATCCATCTACCAAGGGCAATAACGATAACTCAATTTTCTTAAAATTGCAACTTGATTCAGAATGCTACTTATCCAGCGCCCGAGATTAAACCACAGCTTCATACCAGAGCCCAACCTTACCTTCATCCAACGCAAAGTCATACGCAAATTCATACTCAAAGTCATAAAATCAGGGGGTGAACATCAAAGATCAACAACAACTAGCTGTGGTAATAGACTGTCTCAGTCTCGACCGCTGAAGATATAAAAGATCTATCAAATTGTACACCCTTGCTAATAGGAATTCTTCACCAAAAACTTAAGAATATATCGAAGGAAAAGTTTGGACGCACAAGGTGCCCAATCAGTTTTATGTGAATTATTTGGTAGGTTTACGGGCCCGGTATTCCCTAAACTCAACCTAGAGGATATCAAATTCAATGTCGCTATGCAACGTCTTTTCCCCTCATATTAGAAGAGCCGTTTCATCAAGTCCGATTTTCCGGATTTTGCGTACAAACGTCTCATTTTCGATGACGGAAAGAGTGGTGGAATTGGGAAAAGAATTATGTTTGGTCCTTCTCATTCAAATTGAAAGACGGGTCAAGGAGCAAGCAACCCATCAGACCATACGCGATATTGTCTTCGTGTGTATTGACGGAGTCTTGTTGCAGCATTTACTGAAGGTCTTTGAAGACACAAGGGCTCTTCACTCTCCAAGCACCCGAGCCCCACTCATCGTAGCGGTATGCGGTCACTTTTTGAGGCCGAAACATCACGGGGCCAGATTCAGAGCCGAATATCACGCGGACTGTGCCTATCGTACTGTCCTTGATCGATCTAAACGACTACTGCCCGACTTCAACGCTAGCAGGTGCCGAATGATGGTAAACTTAATAATTGCACAATGTGACTATCTCAAAGTTTCACCTATACATGAACTGTATATGCCTTGTATTGAGATATCGGATGCTCGGATCTACTTGTGACGTAAACGCTGAGTGCTCGCTCAATCGGTTGGGATATGCTGATCATATAGATACGAGGATGACAGATCCACTCCATGGGAAGCCCGTAGAGCCAAGCGAGTCGGAGCCGAGCTAGCCGTTTAGCCTTTCTTCTAAAGTGAGAACCTTCTTCTACGCTTCCCGTACTAACAGGTATCCGGATTCTCCGGTAATTAAAAATACATGACTATTACTTTCAAGACCTGCAGAAGACGATTTCCTCCCTCTGATAATTCGCCGTAATGTGTCGTCGCTCCCAATTGGTGGCGAGCAAGGAAAGGATCGGAGACGGCTTTGTAAGTTCAGCGCGTTACAATACTCGTTTCGCTGACTTACCGCAGGGAATTGGTCCGGTCTCACGAATCTTCATTGCCTCAAATCTAGTCTTTGCCTCACAATTACATGATCTCAATTTTAGGTAAAGGATACATTGGAGGAAACTCGGAAATTCCGCATACACTAAATGGTCCACAAGACCATTTCTACATCCAAGGCCTACCGAGCTGATCATATACCAATTTTAATATCAGTATATGTAACACTCTGGCAGCTACAAACCTATCTGCAGAAATTTTGCCCTCATCAGTGGTCACTAATTCGAAGTGCACATAAAGTATGGTACGAGCACGCTGGCATTCTTACTTGCAAATATGCATGCTTAACCCGATTCAGGTTCCAGACAAAGCACGCCTTCACATTATCATTGTCGGGGCAGGTCTGAGTGGCATTGCTGCCGCAATCTCCGCGGCTCTCTCCGGGCATTTTGTTGAAGTCATAGAACAAGCACCCGAACTCGCTGAAGTAGGAGCCGGGCTTCAAGTCACTCCCAATGCCTCACGACTCCTACAGTATTGGGGTCTACCAGAGTTCGTCTGGGAAGCAGCTGCAGAGCCCAAGAAATTGACGGTACATCGTTATTCAGGACAGGTTTTGGCGCATGATGCCTCATTCGCTGAAAACATTCGGGCAAGTTATAATGCACCTTTTGTGGATATGCATCGAGGAGATCTTCAGAAGGCACTGTACATGCGAGCGCGAGACCTGGGAGTCGCTTTTCACCTTGGTGAGAGGATCGAAAGCATTGACTTCGAGTCTACAACGGTGTGTTCTATGAAAGGACATAGTTTTTCAGGTGATCTTATAATCGCTGCCGATGGGTTATGGTCCAAATGCCGGGATGCTTTTGTCGGAAGGAAAGATGAGCCAGTCCCAACGGGAGATCTAGCATATCGAATTGTCTTGACCGCAGATCAAATTACAGACCCCGAGCTGAGATCGCTGGTCCAGAATCCTGAAGTTCATTTCTGGATAGGGCCCGGGGCTCATGCTGTCGGCTATTCAATGCGAGGAGGGAAGATGTATAATATTGTTCTGCTTGTACCAGACACTCTGCCTGCAGGTGTCTCCAAGCAGGTAGGCTCTGTGAAGGAGATGCGAGAGCTTTTTGTTGACTGGGATCCGATGTGAGTCATGTGCAGAAAGTGACAAGGAGGCTGTTTATTGACTAACTGCTCTAGCCTGAATAAGCTCTTGAATTATGTGAACGACGTGGACAAATGGAAGTTGATGCACCGTGAGTCTTACCATTATCTTCGAGTCGGTGACAATCTAATATCATTATAGATGGCGAAATGGCCAGATGGGTCAATGAAAAGTCGAATCTGGTCTTCATGTAAGCTTTTACTTCTGCTCAATGTGGACCCAACTGTTGTCTCAATAGTCTGGACTAATACATGCCGTGTCTAAGCGGGGATTCTTGTCACCCAATGCTACCTTACTTGGCTCAGGGTGCCAATTCGTCCTTAGAAGATGGAGCCGTTCTAGGTCTTCTTCTAGGATACATGAACGACAAAGCTCAATTGGGCCGGATTCTTCGGCTATATGAGACTCTTCGCAAATCGAGAGGGGAGGCCATTGTGCGGGAAACATTCAAGCAGGTAGGGCTAATCCCTATATATATTCCTCACTTGTTAGTGTTTTAAGAATAACTGACTAATACTCACTAGAGAGACGACTTCCATATGTGTGACGGAGAAGAACAGCAAAAGCGCGATCAGGTCTTTCTCTCCCAGCTTGGCAAGAAAATAAAGGGCGCTTTCCCTAGTAGATGGTATTTGACCCAAACCCCATACCAGAAGGTGTTGCTCACATTTTTATAGGACGTGTCCTGTGGTTCAACCGTGGCTGTATGGCTATGATGCTGTCAAGGAGGTTGAGGATGCAATTGCCCAGAATCCGGATATTCTCATTGATCCTACTCATTGACGGGCGTACCATCGTTACAATACCAAAAACTCAGACCTATCATTTTATTCAATTATTGTGAAATGTCAATCGCCTTATAGTTTAGTCAATGATTGATCAGAATTCTTGGTTTCCTTTTTCATTAGCCACAGAGGTTAAAGTTAGAATATGATAAGCAGGACGTCAAGATGAAGCACAGCAGCCAGCCGAGCCAACTGCTTCATGCTGCAGACTATGAGAAACAATAAAACTGGGATATTTCCACTGGTCAAATATTCACTCGTAGATCTTCCATGCAAAATATTCAGTTTACCGACTTACTATCACGTTAGAGCTGCCTCTGAGTATCTCTGCTTTACCTCCGAAGCGACACTGGACGATCACACTTCCCGGTCATGCTTAGCCAGTCTTCCGAAAGAATGCCGCCTACTGGGAAGCCTGAGTGTATTAAGCTCGCATGAGGAAGACAGAGATAGGCGACATAGAAATGCTAGAATAGGCATTTTTGATTACCATGATAGGAGTAACTAGACTTTTCAGGATGATGAGAGTAAAATCATCCATCCTCCTGGGTGATTGACCATTGATTTGACTTAATCGAATCTGTGTCAAATGCTGCGCGCAATTGCGATACAGCGCCCATCTTATCCTTTGCCGTATATCTCGCACTCTAAAGCAAATTAGGTATAATATTTGACAGCACTAGTCACGTAACGTGTTAAATCATCTCAAGAAAAAAGGTGTCAGGCTAGTCGAGTTCACTCTGATTGCGGGCTTCTTTCTACAAAGCTGCAAAGTCAGCTCGTAGAAGTACGTACTGTACTATAGGCTAGGAAAATTCAAAGCGTTTAGCTTTCAATGTAACGGCATTTTGGCCAGGCCTGGATCAGGAGTGATTCCGTCTAAAGCCTTTTCTCTTGACCCCTTGTCGGCAGCGTGAGGAGAGATTGCGTCAACATATAAAGGATACTAAGCTGTATAAAACGAATTTGGTCAAAGAGAACGAGAGATGTATTCAGCAACTTAGGATTTCTTGCTGTAGAGTATCCTTCTATGAATGTACTCCCGCACAGTTGTTGGCTTGCGTCCCAAAAGCCATTCAAGGACGTTGCTATTGCCTTTGAGTCCGTAAATGTTGTAGACAAGAGACAGTCGCTGTATGGCATCGCGTATAGAGTGTGGCAAGGAGTCTGTGTCAGATACAGCCTCTTTGCGAAATTCCCCTGACTCGAGAAAATCTAATGGCTTGATTTGAATAGGCCGTCCGATCTCGTCTTGCAAAATAGATATGATATCTGCATATGCAGTAGGGCCTGTGGAACAGATCATATATTGAGCGAAGTAATGTTTTTCTCGCTCTAAAATAATCTTTCCCAGTGCTTCTGCCAAGTCCTTGAGAATAGTGAAAGAAAACTTAGTGTGTATGTCAAACATGACTGGAAAGATAGACCTCTCTGCATTCAAGAGAAGTGCTATTGGGAACGAGTCTAGTATGTGGCTGGGCTGGACTATAGTATATGGGAGGCCAGAGTCGATAAGAAATTCTTCCACATGCTGCTTGTTGCGGTGATTTCTGAGTTTCTGCAAATGTGGATGTAACACAGAGGAATATATAAAGTGCTTCAGTTGCCCGTATTTGAATTCGTGTTGTGCTGCGTTAATCATTGTGAAGCCAATCTGAGATTCGTTACTCTTAGACGGCCCAATGTAGATAACGACTATAACACCGGACAAAAATCGCCGGGCATCGTGAGCATCAGCCATATCACCACGGACAACATCGGCTTCAGGGTATTTGACTTTGAGAAACTCCTCTGAGGATGCACTATTAACAGCAAGGCGTATGTGCTTCCAATTACCATACAGGAGAGGAATCAACTGTGAGCATTGCATGCCACTAGCACAGGTGAGAAGGATAACATCATTTTTGATATCGGCCGGCATGCTGGGTGATTTGCCGATCGATTCGGACAATGTTGGAAGCCAATGGAATGGATCTGAGTGTGATGTGAATTTGCATGGACAGAATACTCTGCCCGATAAAGGCTAACGAGCTCCAGATTTCAAGTTCCTTATTCCCAAAAACTGAATTAGATCCGCGCTTCCCCTCTTATGCCGATTGCGACAATAGCTGTTCGTATATTTCATCTATGAAGAATGTGGGGCAGTCTCGGCGCTTCGGAAGGCCCGAACACCGATATCTCCTGCCGTCTTGTAATTTCACTTCTCTTTGTATTTGTGGGACAAATAGCTCCAAGAAGACTGTGGATCATTTACGTAGATCTTCGCAGTACGTAGAAGGAAAATCCTGGGAGATCAGGAACTACTCAGGTTAACCCAATAAACTCATTAACCCGGTAGGGATGGCGCAGGTATTGGAATCCTTTTTCTCGGCGAATAACCCACTAACCCACCCCACACCGCCTTCTTGAACGAACCACGTGTGGAATTCGTGAGTCTTTGAACACGTCAAAATCAAGGAAATATACTATTTCCGAGGATTTTTTAAGATGCCCTCTATACCTAAGCCTTTGTCTCCTTCTTCTTCTGATTTTCCGAAGTAACAATTATAATTGCAACAGACGAATCCAAACAATCATCTATGCGTACTTGCTCTTCAAGATACTGGCTTTTTGTCTTGACAAATTATAACTGAGATATAGCTTAGTAGACTACGAAATGTTATACAGACAGCCTGAGATACTGTATGAGCGATTATTTCTGGAAATTATTGGAAAGTAGGAAGGCAAGGTGCGATACAGTTATCAACGCTGAAGCTAGCCGTAAGTTATTACCCCTCAAACCAACGGCAGAATGGAAGGATTGATTTCCCTGCGCCTTCCCACCGGTCTAACGAGATCATTGGGAGTCAGAACCCGAGTATACTTTCAAGCCAAGCAAATCTTGTGCATTGCCATAGGCGAACTTTTCAAAGTCGGCCTCCGACAGCAAACCGCTCTGCCGAACCTCTTCAACAAATGCCAGACCTTTTTCGTTAGACGAGAACGGGTAATCGACGCTATAGAGAATATGACTGATTGAGGTTGTCTGTAACAAGCATTGCAGAGGAGGAAGAGCGAACATGCCGCTAGTTGTGATCCAGATGTTTTCCTCCCACACCTGTTTGAATCCTCTCTTCAGACCCCAGGTACCTGTGGTGGAGATGATTCTCTCAAGCTGGAACGGGATCATCTCTCCCATATGTCCAATTATGATCTTGATCTTGGTAAAGCGGTCAAAGAAGCCGCTGGCAAACATTTTCAGAATACTCAAAGCAGTATCCGAGTGCCATCCCCAGCCGAAGGCACTGAGAGCTGTCGCAATCTTTTGATTATAGTCACCCTCGTAACGATCTCTGTCGACAGGGAAAGAAGGGTGAATATATATAGGAACTTTGAGTTCCTCAGCCATCTGGAAGACCACCCAGAATCGTTGATTGTCGTAATATTCTCCGTGGACATGATTATCTATCAAGGCACCAACAAACTGTAAGTCCTTAATGCAGCGTCTAAGCTCGTTTGCAGCATCGATCGGGTCGTTCATAGGAAGCATAGCAAAGCCAGCTAATCGATTCGAATTCTTGGAGATCTTCAAGGCAAGCTCATCATTTGCTGCAGTACAGATTGCTGGAAGCCTGATGCCGGGAGCATGTGATAGAACCTGAAGTAACAGTTGCCCATTATCCATATCCCGCATGCGTTCCTCCCCGAAGGCCTTAAGTTTGACCGGGATATGAGGAGGAAAATCAGCGTAGCGATCAACCTTTTGCGCTTGGGTGACCACAGTAGAGAGATAGTGCTCTTCAAGCGCGATCAATGGTATCATGATGAAGGATATCTGCGGGGACGAAGGTATGATTAAAGCGGTATACTCGGTTCGCGGTGGGTGAAAAAATGGTACCAGGAACTGAAGGCCATCATTAAATGTACGTATCGGCACCCATTCCCGTGCTTAAAGCGTGCGAAGATCGTTGCGCGACGGTCGGTGACCGTGGATGGCCGAAATGCCGAAAGTCTTACTAACGGTACTGACGCGCTACGATCCAGACTGCGCAGTTTTCCGTTTTCGTAAACAGGTTGACTCACGGGAAGCTCCGATCGAGGCCGATATCTCCGGAGGAACAGGAGGGAGGTTGTCGATCCCGTACCCCACAGAGGGTCATTGGCGTCGGAATATCCGAGCTATTCTGGTCTGCAGCGAAACTGGGGAAAGGGAGTTTGAAAGCCCAGGCTTTATTGAAGCATAAACAGGCTCCATTGAGGCATGAATCGCCAAGAGGATATCTTCCGTCAGCGACCATGGCTGTCTGATTCGCCCGTCTCTGTCGAAAATCCGAGGTCTCACGCTTGATTGTACAGACTATCGGTACTAGGCCATTTTGGAGAAGCCGAGCAACAAGATCGTCCCCAGACTATACATAAACCTCGAAGAGACTGGGAAAGATATCCTCACAAACTCCCAAGTGACTGATCCTATTCTCATTCCGCTCTCATTGTTTGATTGTCTATAGTGCTACGTTCTCACCCCCACCCCTTTCATTGAAATGCCGCTTCAAACATTGCCGGATGGTCGTAAGATCGTTCCGTTAGTTGTCGGCGCAACGCCAATCACAACAAATGTAGCGGACATTCACCCTGCTATTTCGACAACGGACAAAACTCCGATCCACTATTACCAGTCTGCATCCAGGGCAGACTGCGAACTTGCATGCCACACGGCCTGGCGAGCATTTTCCGAAGGTGGCAACGGCGAGGAGCCCTGGAAACGCGCCAGTGTTGAGAAGAGACGGGCTTTACTGCATCGCGTTGCTGATTTGTTCCTCGAGAGACAAGAGGAGCTCTTGAGCGCGCAAATCCATGAGACCAGTTGTCCCATGTTATGGGCCAAAAACAACGTCAATCTCACGGTTCAATACCTCCGCGAAATCGCCGCTTGCTTGGGGCAAGTACGAGGGGAGATTCCCCCGAACGATAAACCGAACACAATGGCTTTTGTTTTTAAAGAACCAGTTGGTGGTGTTTTGGTTATTCCACCGTATGTTCAAACTCCCCGAACACAAAAAGCTGATAGCATTGGAAAACTTAAGATCTGACAGTTGGAATGCCGCGCTTATTTTGTGTACTCGCGCTATCGCTTCTGCCGTGGCGGCCGGCTGCACAGTCGTCTTGAAAGCGTCCGAACTTTGCCCCTACACGCATAGTCTGGTCCATGATATCTTCGTCGATGCCGGTGCCCCTTTGGGTGTGATCAACCTCCTCATGTCAGCTCGCTCTAAGGCAGCTGAAGTTACTGAGTGGCTGATTTCCCACCCTGCTATCAGAAAAATTGACTTTATTGGCTCTGCTGCTGTAGGTAGAATGATCGGTGCATGTGCTGCAAAGTATCTCAAGCCAGTTCTCTTGGAGCTTGGGGGGAAATGTCCTGCTATCGTACTAGATGACGCGGACATCTACAGAGCCGCTGAAATGTGTGCCAGGGGCGCCTTCCTGCATCACGGCCAGATATGCTTCAGCACAGAGCGTATTATCGTTCACAAAGCCATTGCCGAAAGTTTCACCGCAATGCTTGTTCAGGCAGCTGGAGCGGTGACGGCACAAGGCATGTCAGGTCGTGCTATTACCGAAGACATCGCTCAGCATGCATATGACGTGGTGCAAGACGCAGCGTCTAAAGGCTGTCGCTTAGTCTTCGGAAAAGCCTCATTCAAAGAAAAGAGCTCTGTTGCACTAGAGCCCACTATCATAGGCGTCGATACAACAAGCCCGACGTCATTACGCATTATCGATGAAGAGTCGTTTGGACCGAGTGTTAGCCTGTATATCGTCAACGATGACGAGGAGGCGATTAAGCTTGCAAATCAATCCGCATATGGGCTCAATGCCAGCATACACACAAGGGACATGGAACGCGGCCTACGGATCGGTCATGAACTAGAATACGGGCAAGTCCATCTCAATTTCATCACAATATACACAAGTCGTAAGTGCCAGTTCACGATATATCAAGCTTCAGAAAGCACACGATAACTGACGGCTATCCTTAGCGACTGGTCCCCAAGGAGGTGTGAAAGGTAGTGGCTGGGGCAGACAGAACGCAATTTGGGGTGTACAAGAGTTCTTACAAGATAAGAGTATCACTTGGCATGGTTGACGGTGGTCGGGAGTTTGAACATATTCTTCGTCAAATCGGGTCAACTGAAACTGGGGCGACATTCTATAACCGGCGCACATACTGGGATTTAAGCCGGAATCGAGAATTCAAATAGCACATACTTGGATTTAAACCCGCAATCGAGATTTCGAATGGCACTGTAATTCTTAATATACCGTCGAAACAGCTCTTGGCTGGAAGTAAATCCGTGTTCGTTCTCGGTGTTGATCCCCGAGTCACAACGGAAATTGAAGTCGAGTGGGCCAATCTCTTTTGCAGCAAAACATCTATAAGCTGGATTTATTTATTCTGTCTCGCTATGTTTGCGCTTTGATATGGCCAATACTTCTCATTGAAAGAGCTGTCTACACGGAGGGTTGAAATGTATCTCGATCTTTGTTCTACAAAGGTAGGATGATGATGCTTGAGCAATACTGATACAGTCAAATTCGAATGTTCCAAATTTCCAGTGCGATCTACCTCTCGCAATGACACAATTCTCCTGTTTCCAATCTCGCCGCAGGGACGGATCGGCAATCTTTCTTAGGATCTTTCCTTCACACTGAAAGGCCATCTGATGCACTTTCCAGTTATGTAACTCCGCATGCACATGCGAACGTGTCTAACATCTGGAATTCAGGCGTTGCGAACACGTCTGATCCAGGCGGCCATTCCTCCACGCTCCATTTCATTCGGATAGAAGGGGTAGGGTGAGTTGTAATCCACGAGCCATCCAAAGGTAGACTTGATGAGCATCAGGTACCAAAACGCAGCACCGTAGGCAAGACCCAGAGCCCACTGACGCCCTGTCAACTGACCACTGCTTGTCATGTAGCGTATGTAATAATAACCGAGAGGAATATGCATCAAAATCACGGACGCCAATCCTGGGTTGTAAAATGTACCGAGCTTCATGTTCATATTAATGCCATGAATAAAGAATTGTCCGAAGCCGAACAAGATAGGTGCTAGTCCGGCCCAGACGTAATCAGGGAAGAAGACAGGAGGAAGGTAGAATCCGTATGTAGCAACCACGTTTGTGAAAGTCGAGGATTGGGAACTCAGAGGGAACCGATCAGGGCGTTCGCTGGAATGAACACCCATGTTCATTGCTGCTGGAAATCCTCCAGGAAAGCGATATTCCTCAAATTGATGAACCAAGACAGTCATAAAATTGAGCAGGAGGAATTTTTGCGTTGTCGTCAGCTTGGACCGGTTGAGGTGAAAGTATCGAGCTGATACTATAAATGATATGACACCGAGGTCATACCAGTGATGGCGAATAAAATCGAGCATTTTGACGGGTAGGCGCTGGGATTCGTAGATATGGTGTGACTGGTGTGAGACCGGTGTGTGACAGACAGTTCAATTTTTTGAGGAATCTCAAAGGAACGCTGGGCGCTTTATAGGGATCAGCTGGGACAGTAATGGATTGAGGATTCTTGGTGGTCTGAGACAGGATCTCAACGTAGCTTCCACAAGTGGGGGAGATGGAAAATTTCTCCTTATTTCGTCATCATTAGTTATTTGATTCCTCCATTCTATCTTGTGACTGCGGATATTCGGGGCTCCGATCTTCTTAAGTCCGAGGCCCACAACGTTCTATTAGCGACCGGAGCGGGCCCAAGATCGCCGCATTCATCCCTGGAACTCGGGTTATCCGGTTCTCCCGTAATGGTTCTTAGCGTATCATGCGGTCACCTTCGGCACCGTAGCTTTAGTTTAGTATCGTTGCTCAAACGAGGTTATTGTTACGGGGTTGGTGCACAGCACTCTCTGCCGAGATTTCCGATCGACATTCTTGTTACACATGCCGCGACTGGCAATGGCACGGGGATTCCGATGCCTGAACCTTGCTGATATGATGTCACGCGGGAGTTGCAGGACAAGTTAGTTGCCTTTTAAAACAGAGCTTCTGGTGCTTGCAACAATCCAAATGAGATTTCGTCAACACTCACACATACCTCGACCATAGTTGTCCTTAACTTACTTATCATGTCTTTTCATATTACTTCAGACGGTCGCAGTGTCGTGCCGCTTGTTGCAGCCGCAAAGCAACTTCCTTTTCAAGAGTCCCAAGTCCATCCAGTCATTTCGGCGAAGACCAATGAAACTGTGCACTATTTCCAGTCGGCAACAACTTCGGATTGCTCTGCTGCTTGCGATGCAGCTTGGCAGGCTTTTGCTCATGGCTTAGAGGGAAACACCCCGTGGAAAATTGCGGGCGTTGAGCAGCGAAGAACCCTCCTTGAGCGAGTTGCCAACCTTCTCCTGGAGCGGGAAGAAGAATTCATTCGAGTTCAGCAGCTGGAAACCAGCAGTGGACTACTCTGGTCGAGACACAATGTACGAACAACTGCCAAATATGTTCAAGAGATTGCCTCGGCTGTGTCCAGTATCAAAGGAACCATTCCCCCGAATGACAAACCAGGAACAATGGCATTTGTTTTTAAGGAAGCTATCGGCCCGGTTTTGATCATACCTCCGTAAGTGAGAGTTCCAGACTTTACAGGGTACATAAAACATATCGGGATATACTGACTCAATCTAAATTGAGGTGGAATGCGGCGCTCAACCTGTGCACACGGGCACTTGCGGCAGCTATTGGTGCCGGCTGCACAGCCGTTTTGAAAGCCTCGGAGCTCTGCCCCTATACACATAGTCTGATTGCAGATGTCTTTACTGCGGCCGGTGCTCCTCCTGGCGTTATCAACTTTCTCTGCGCGGCACGACCTGACGCTTCAGAAGTAACTGAATATATCATTGCTAACAAACATATCCGGAAGATTGACTTTATCGGTTCTCCAGGCGTAGGCAAGATCATTACTGCCACGGCTGCAAGGTACCTGAAACCGGTTCTTCTAGAATTGGGAGGTAAATGCCCCGCAATTGTTCTTGATGATGCAGACCTTCAAAAAGCTGCAGAAAGATGTGCGCGAGGTGCTCTTATGCATCATGGCCAGATTTGCTTCAGCACAGAGCGTATAATTGTTCAAAGAAAAGTTGCAGAACCCTTTACAAAGGCCTTAGTTGCAGCCGTTCAAGCCCTTGAAGCTCAAGATTTTGCCGGGACTGCAGTCTCGGAAGGCATTGCGAGCCACGCCTTGGAGGTTTTGCAAGAAGCAAAGAGTAAGGGTCAGCAATTTATCGTCGGGGATGCAGCCTATAGATCGGGCCATCCTAACTCCCTGGTACCTGCTATTGTGGCGATTGATCCGGCAACAAATCCTGATGATCTACGAATTGTGGATGAGGAAACTTTCGGGCCGAGCGCCAGTCTCTATGTCGTTGATACAGATGAAGAGGCTATCAGGCTGGCGAATCGGTCTGCCTTTGGCCTGAACGCTGCTATTCATACGGCCGACCTTGAGCGTGGTATGCGCCTCGGGCGGCAACTTGAGTATGGACAGGTACATCTCAATTGGGAAACGGTCTATGTTAGCCGTAAGTGCTTGTTGCCATACCTGCTATGTAAGACATTCTTGCTGACGCAAATTACAGCAACTGGTCCCCAGGGAGGCCTCAAAGCCAGCGGCTGGGGCAGGCAGAACGCACTCTGGGGGTTGGAGGAATTCTTGGAGGAAAAAAGCATCACCTGGCACGGAAAGTAAATTTCTCGAGGTATATATTGCTCCCTTCGAACATACGATCATGGGATTTTACACAATAGCAGAATTGATAGTTCAAGTGAGCCAACTTCTTGATATGATATCACAAATAAGCGAGTGCCAATGTTGCGTAAAGCTGTTGCCTATGTGCAGCCTCCTGCATTCGCTATCTTTCCTAGTGTGCATCAAAAGCTGTTTGTCCAGCTATCACGGTTGATCAGATTTATTCTACCCTTAACATATCCTACCCACAGATACATGGTCTTCCTAAGGCTCATCCGCGAGCAGCTACACCCGATGGCCAACCCACGACGTCAAGAAATCAGAAGTCACGCCAAATCGAACTGACTACGATGTAAGCGTCCAGCATCAGCCTTAGATTAGCCATCTGCCTGTTTTTATATCTGGATCTCTATGGATAAAATTCCGAGAATACTTCATCTACGAAATATCTGGTTCTACTCTTATTGCTAAGAAAAAGTAAGAATTCCTCAAAGATTATTCATATCAGAGAATTTTCGAAGCACAAAGTGGATTAATGGATAGATATACTTTAATTTACTTATCATGCTAACATTATTTTCGCTAATGAGATCTTTTGGATTATAGGTTGATCTACTTTGTTGTTAATGACTATTTCTTATTTATAGAAAAGCTAGTAGTCTATAATATCTTTTTCTCCGAGCTTCAGCTAGCTTCTATTCTAAGACTGATGTGATTATCTTAGGATTCAAGCCAAGAATAGTGCTGACCACCGCAGATACTGAATAGCCTATTTTACTACTGGATAAAGGGTTTAAATATGCTGCTTTGACTAGAGTCGCTAACGGCCAAGTCAGGTCAGGTTAATTGGAAATTTTATACCTGACCGCCAGGTTATGGTCAAGTTAAGGGAATTTTTATACCTAACTACAGTATAGTCAAAAATCAGATAATTAACTATCTTAACTGTTCTTCATACTAAGATCTATCTACTATATCTCGTTGTAAGGGCTAAACCAGCCCTTCCAACTTTCGCAGATAACTGCGAAGGGAAATCATTTCATTTACAGTCATGCAGGTATGTGATGCCCGAAGTCCCCCTCCCCGCGTCAGGATAGGAGTACAGGATGGATCGGGGACTCAGACTATGCATTATCAGTACTGTGTCCGCTGTCACATCACATTCAACGGGGACATCGTGATAAAAACAGAAATGAGACAAGCAATTGCACCTCACAATCTGGCCTTGGGAGTTCTCTTGGTCTTCTGACTGTAAGCGTCCCAATCTACCGGCCGACCGGACTGGAACTCACGCACTCCATGGGCGCCATCGCCATCGGATCGCATCATCTCCTGGAAGAGTGCCTTGATTCCCGATGCCTGTTCGTCTTTGCCCGCGTGCTTCCAGGCGAGATTGACCAAATCCTTCGACATGCGAGATGCATTGGGAGAGACCCGGCGCAGGCGTATCAACAAGGTATCTAGCTGCTTGTCTAGGGCTTCTTGATTCTCCGCGACCTCAGCGACGAGGCCCAGCGAATACAGCTGCTGAGGCTTGACCGGACGAGCAGAGAGCATTGCCTCACGCGAAAACGCCACCCCCCATTCCCGGATAATATACTTCGAGATGGTTGCGGGACAAAGACCCAGCTTTCCCTCGCTCAGCGTGACAGTAGCAGCCTTGGTGCAGAGACGAATATCACAGGCAAACGCTAGTCCAACCCCGCCGCCAAACGCCGGCCCATTCAAACAAGCGATAGTCACCTTCGGACACTGATCAATTACCTCGAACAGCTCCGTCAGCCTTGTAAATTGCGCCTCGCTGCTCTCCACCCCCTGCGCCACCGAAGTACTCCCTTTCCCCAAGTCCATCCCCGTACAGAAGAACCTCTCAGTACCCGTAATGATAACCCTTGACACCGCTGGATCCGAACTCGCAGAATCTATCACCGACCGCAACTCCGCAATCATCGCAGCGGTCAACGCATTTCCATTCTGTGGACGATTCAGCACGACCTTCAAATTAACCCCGCAGCGAAACAGCCGCATCCCCTCGGCGTCAACAATCAAAGCCCATTGCAAAGCCGGTGACAGCGCCTGTCCCTGTCCCTGCGCCTGCTGTGCCTTCGACGACTGCCGAGAGGCTGCCGGCGACGACTCCGCAGCAGTCTTAGCCGCCAGCGCAGCTCCAGCCCGACTCCCATGCTCTCCAGCGGGGAGCTGCTTCGCGATCCAGAACCCCGTCTCGACTAACCGGGCCAGATCGACCCCTGTCTCGATCCCAGCCTCTTGGAACATATAAACCACGTCCTCAGTGGCGACGTTGCCCTTGGCTCCGGGCGCGAACGGACACCCACCCAGCCCCGCGACACTGCTATCAAAGACGCGTACACCACAGGTATACGCCTCCCAGACGTTGGCCACCGCCTGGCCGTAGGTATCGTGGAAGTGGCCGGCCAAGGCACCAATGGGAATACCACCGGAGTTCGTGAGATAGTCCAGGAGACGGCGGACTTTCGCGGGGGTCCCGACGCCTAGGGTGTCGCCGAGGCTAACTTCGTAGCATCCCGCTTGAAGGAGGGCTTGCACGCAGCGGAGCACCGCGTCGGGTGAGGTGGGTCCGTCGTAGGGATCGGAGAAGATGCAGGAGACGTATCTGGAACCTTATCAGCCTGAATTGAGTATAAGTTCCATAGCGAAAAAGGGGGGATTCAGTGAGGATTCCAAGGATCCAAGAACCATACCCTCGTACAACCAACCCATCCTTTACTGCCCGCCCGACCACCTCCCGCGCCCTCGCAAGTCCAACCTCCACCGAACAATTGATATTGGCCCGGCTGAACCCTTCCGTCGCGCTGACGAAAACAGCGATCTCTCTTACTTGGAGGGATTGTGCGATTTCTAAACCCTTGAGATTGGGGACTAGTACCGGGAGCCGAAGGTCAGGGTTGTTGTCGTGGCCTAATGCCCGGATAGAGGGGTGTTGAAGGAGATCCTTGCAGTCAGCGAGCTGGGGAATGTGGCGTGGGGAGACGATCGAGGTCAGCTCGATCGTCTTTAGACCGGTTTGGTGAAGCCGGTGGATTAAGTCGAGCTTGGTTGCGGTGGGAATCTGCGTGGGGATGTTTTGGAGGCCGTCGCGCGGGCCAACTTCCACAATACGGACTGTTGGCGAGGGCATGTTTTTGTCTTTGAGTTCAGTCTATAGATTTCAGGCAATAACAACTTCCAGTCCGCTAGAGTTTGTGCTGCATTATTTCCTACATATATCTACCCTAGCTATAGACTGGCGGTGGTAAAGTATGTGGGGAACTGGTTGTCTCTCGGACCGCCGGGTGTTCTCTACCCCACGGACTGGCGGACCGATGCTGTTTGGGGTGATGCAATACGGCAAGCTACTCGTGCCAATTTGCAATGACTCCCACCGCTGCTTGAGGTCCTGACCGCCTAGTATACCGCTTTCTTAACCTTGCTTGCTTATTTACTTATTAGCACCATAAGGACTGTCTTACTTGCTTATATATATGTAGTAGGAACTGTGAGGACTACTTATTCTAGCTGTAGTAACTGTAAGTCTAAGTAATAATTACTATAGTCTATCTTACTATATAGAACTACTTTAGCTGGAATTTAGAGAAGTATATAATTTGTCAAGGTGCGGGATGGTTCGCTGGCTTAATCACAGGCGAGGTGGTAGGACTAGCAGTTCTGGCTGGAGATCTCTCAATATAAGTCTTCTGGATTCTATCTTCTAGCTACTCAGTCAAGCTATCCTCAGGTTCATAGACAAGACGTAGCTCAAAGAGCTACAAGCAGAATCAGGAGCGGGAAGGAGGTTAAGGGGGTTGTGGATCACGTGCAGGGCGGTCAAGGGGTAGGAAGGGTTAAGCAGGTTGATCAGGTCGGTTAGGTCGAACAGGGCGGGTAGGTCCTCTGGGGTTGCACCGTGACATAATTAAAGTCTAGTAGTTAGGATCTTATACTAAAATAATAATATAGTATAATATATAGACAGCTTAGAGCTCTGTCTATGAAGCTGAATCCTAGTACTAATCAATAAGAGCTTATAATTTATATACAATAGGTCTGTTTTCTTACAATTAGAGTAATCTGATTGGCCGTAGGCAAGCTAAGCCTAATCTAGGTGGTTGACGGTTCGAACCCTGCCAGTTCCATGTGATCATTTTATTGCCGGCAGAAGGAGGGTTATTGCAAATTGGCACGAGTAGCCCACTGCAAGGAGGAATAGGAATGATTTTTGTTTTTTTTTTTTTTTTTTTCTACTTTGTCAATAAAAAAAAGGATTCATTCTACTTTCTTATTCGGACCTCCGACTGACTGCTTCTCTCACACTGAACATGTGAGTGACGACTATTGTCCTAGTATATTGTATTTCTTCGACATCTACAACCTCGCCCGGTTTCCCTCCCTCGTTCGCACCAAGCGATTCCCCAACTCACGCAGGATATGTTTCTGATGTTTCCCACTGCCGGTCTTGGGGAAATCCGCGCCGACGCCAGCATCGCCGATCCAGAAGATATGCTGGGGCGCCTTATGCCGCCCCAGCGTCTGACTCACATAGTGTCGGAGTTCATCGTGACTGACTTTCGCACGGCCCTTCAGAAACGCCCCAACCACTTCCCCATACCGCTCATCCTTGATCCCGACCACACTGGCCTCACTGATGGAAGGATGCGTCGTCAACCGCTCCTCGATCTCACGGGGGAAGATATTCTCTCCTCCTATATGTTTGGTGTCTCTGGTGATCAGCAGTACTCATTAAAGAAAGCAAATTCACAACAACCCAAACCAAGAAGAGAAGCATACGTACCCCGAATAATCAAATCCTTGATCCGTCCGGTAACAGCCACAAACCCGTCCGCATCCATCACCACCTCATCCCCCGTCCACATCCACAGCACCCCCTGCTCATCCCTCCGCATCACCTCTGCTGTCTTCTGGGCGTTCTGCCAGTATCCCTTCTGCACCGCAAATCCCGCTGTACACAATTCCCCCCGCACCCCCCGTGCAACCACGGCACCGGTGTGATCCACCACCTTCGCCGAGATATGCGGCAACACTCGCCCGACGGTATTGAGCCCTTTCTCAGCATCATCGCTCAGACACGTCATAAACGTCACCGGACTCGTCTCCGTCATCCCGTACGCGATCAGCACATTCGGGATCCCCATCTCCGTCTGGAGACGGCTTACAAGCGTCGGGGAGACGGGAGAGCCGGCGCCGAGCGCGACTCGTAGGGATGATGGGGTAGTACCGGTTTTGGCGAGTACCTCCAAGAAGGCGAGGAACATGGTTGGCACGCCGAGGATCACCGTTGCGTGTTCGGCAAGGAGTGCCTCCACACATCTAGGAGCAGAGAAGCTGGCGGACGGAAGAATTATAGTGCTGCCGTGGATAAATGAGGACAAAAAGCCAAGGACTAGACCAAAGCAGTGGAATAGGGGAGGTGGGGTAAGGACTTTATCCTTCGGCGTGAGGGCTAAACGTTGGCCGACGAAGCGGGCGTCGTTTATGAGGTTTCTTCATTCGTTTCCAAAAGGATTAGTTTATATCCAGAGAGCGATGTGTTGGAGGGGGGAGAGGGGAGTGTTTTAGAGAGGGGCGGGTTACGTGTGCGTTAACATGGCAGCTTTAGGGGAGCCGGTGGTTCCTTTGATATCTGTGAGTGGAAACGGACTTGTGCGATGGGAGAAAATCATTATTGAGGATTACCGGAGGTGAATTGGAGGTTGAGGACGTCCTCGGGGGAGATGGTGCGCGCGATGGCAGCTTGTTCGGCGGGGTTGGGATGGGCAGTGCTAGTAAAGACATCGTAGGGCTGAAGGTCGATGCCCGTTTGGCTGCTGGAGATGCCGTCTCCGATCAGCACAATCCGACGGAGCTCGGGAAGCTCTGAATTCAGTGATTCTTTGCCTCGAAGAGCGTGGATGTGGTCTGATAGGCTTCTGCTGCTGATGGCCGAGCTGATGAAGACTAGTTTGCATGCTGGTAGGATGTTAACCCTAGCTGGCACTGGGCGAGATCGGGGGAGGAGCAAGAAGCCGTACAGCTCTGGTGAACAGCTCTGGTCAATTCCCCCGGGGTATAAGTATTGTTCAAGACCACCACGGGACACCCAATGCGACCACCGCCGAGAAAGACTTCGATGTATTGGTAACAGTTGCCCGCCATGATGCCCACGCAGTCACCTGGACGCAACCCCATATTGAGCATGGCCTGGCCGAGCACACGGCTTCTGTCCGCCAGTTGACTGTAGCTGAGCCGGACAGACTGCCACGGCACAACTACCGCCTCCTTAGAGCCGTACTGAGCTGCTTGCTCGTCGATGAGCTCGCTCAGCGTCTTGTGCCAGAGGGCAGGCTCGGTCGGGCCGTGGACTATAGCGAGAGGGGGAGTCATCGTTGTGTGCGTGGGTATCTCTATGAGGGGAACAGCTGAAGTGGGAAAGTAAGAGAAATTGCCTATCGAGAAGAATCCTCTATCCAAGGGCGATATAAATATAACTAAATCGCATTATTCAAATCCCCTGTCCACGATCCCCGCACTCCGCTGCTGCACTGACATGACGGGCTGCGGACCTGCGAGCGGGATCAACCAAAGGCATCGGTCCGAAAGGCAATCATTCCCCACACAGCATGGCCATCTCTAGTATTTCATTTCCCCCCCGCCATTTTGTCCAATTCACTAAGACTGCTCTTACTTTGACAAAGAAAAAATCAACGTTTTCTCTGGATATCATTATGGCAACTCAATCCTCCTTCCCACCTCTTCAATCCAAGATTAACCTCAACCATCCGCGCTATCGAGCCAACCAGGAAACATGGAAAACTGTTCTAGACCAATTTGAGGAGGCCCTAGAACAAGTCTCGATTGAGGGCAAGGATGTGTCTCTGGCACGACATCAAAAACGGGGGCAATTACTCCGTAGGTATAACTCATTCTTACCGTCCACCTAAGCTGACAACCGAGCAGCCCGGGATCGTATTTCCCTCTTATTGGACCAGGACTCGCCCTTTCTAGAGATCGGTGCCTTCGCCGGCTATAGGAACCCCGATTCAACGCCATGCGCGAATTTGATCGCGGGGATTGGGAATGTTAGGTACGCTTTCTAGGTTCGCTATTCCTATCAGTCTTTATACTTACTCTATAGCGGCCGACCATGTATGCTCATGTCACATATCCCAACCCAGAGCGGCGGGGCCTGGAACGAGATGACAGGTTTGTCCCCAAAGTAGTCAAGCCTGAGAAACACACTAACCATCTCGTTCAGTGCTCAAAACGAACCGAATTTTGGAAATAGCCTTCCAGAACGATTTGCCACTCATTTCCCTAGTACAATCGGTACCACCCCATCACCTTTCTCGCAGCAAGTACCAAACTGATTGCATCATCCCAGGCTGGTGTCTTCCTCCCGCAACAATTCCGAGTCTTCCATAAAGGAGGTCAGCTATTTCGGGATCTCGCCGTGCGTACCCAGCATGGCAAACCCTCCTGCGCGATCGTCTTTGGCTCCTCGACGGCCGGGGGCGCCTATCACCCCGCGCTCTCCGATTACACCATCTTTGTCGAGAACCAAGGGCAGGCGTTTCTGGCGGGGCCGCCGCTGGTGAAAATGGCCACTGGGGAGATAATCGAAGCGGAGGCGTTGGGCGGGGCGAGGGTACATGCCACGACGACTGGGCTTGCAGATCAGATTGCGACAGATGAGTATGTGCGATGTTTCCCCTCGCCATCGAGCAAAATGAGTTAATCCACCATTGGCAGGCTGGAAGCCATCCGCAAAGCCCGCGAGTGGGTAGCGACCCTGCACATCCCATCACCCAAGGGGGTCATCGACACCATCGAGCCCCTACCCCCCAGATACCCTGTCGACGACCTCCTGAGCCTGGTGAACCCCGATATTCGAAAGCCTTTTGACATGCGCGAGGTCCTACTGCGGTTGACCGACGACTCGCGACTGTCGGAATTCAAGCCGGAATACGGACGCAATATGATCACCGGCTGGGCGCACTTCTACGGTAAACACAGCCTTTCCCTCACGTTCCCCCCCCCCCCCCCCCCAGCATTCCCCAGCGGAGAAGCAGCACTAACCCGGCGACCAAACCAGGGATCCAAGTTGGCATCATCGCCAACCAGCACCCAGTCATAAACCCAACCGAAGCCGCGAAAGGCGCGCAATTCATCCGCATGTGCAACCAACAGTAAGCCTCACCCGGCCCCGAACATAAACCCCCCCCACTAACAAACTTGGATATTCAACAGAAACCACCCCCTGCTCTTCTTACACAACGTAACTGGCTTCATGGTCGGTGCCAAAGCCGAGCACGCCGGCATCATTCGCACCGGCGCGCAACTAGTGGCCGCCGTCTCCACCTCGACCGTCCCGCACATCTCCATCATCCTGGGCGCCTCCTACGGGGCCGGAAACTACGCCATGTGCGGCCGGGCCTACGGACCCCGGTTCCTGTTCACCTGGCCTAGTGGCCGGTGCAGCGTGATGGGGCCGGAGCAGCTGGCCGGCGTGATGGAGAGCGTGCAGCGGAGCAGTGCAGCATCCACAGGGAAGGTGCTGGAGCCCGAGGAGTTGCGGGCGCGGGTGGAGCGGTTCCGGGCGGGCGTGCAAGCCGATGCGGACTGTTATGCGACGAGTGGGGCGTTGGTGGACGATGGGGTGATTGATCCCCGGGATACAAGAGATGTGGTGGGGATGTGTTTGGAGGTTGTAAGGGGCGCTGGGATTAAAGGGGCGGGGGGCCATCGATTGTTGGCGAGGATCTAAAGTTGTATGGGGGAGAAGAGTCTGTCGTTCACTCGACTTGTTAGTTTTGCAGTCTATTCCAAGGTGTGCGCAGGTGAGGGACACTTGATTAAGCGTGAGGGAGCACCTCTCTCTCGTTATAGTATCTACAATTTGGTTTGTCCACAGAAATAATATAGTGAAACGAGTCAGTTATGTCCTGGTGGAGCTCTCTACGGTACATGTAATATTGGCATTACTAGGTATATGTTGCCCAGAAGAACAGAGTGATTGGAATTGGGTCTGTACAAAGGCTACTTTTTCATGCTGCTAACCGACCCTTTGAATTGATAGTATTGACATAGAACTAGAATGTACCAGGAATAATTCTACTACCGTCTTAGATTGATGGATTGATGAAACGGCTATTCATTCACTAGACTGCAGGACTTCTGTGCCCCAATGTGACCAACGGACCGACTTGATCCACACCGGCGGGCAGCGGACAAGCGGTCCGATGCGGGGAAAGCAAAGCCAGACAGACGTTCAGCCAACCCTAACTTATCCATTCGGATAACCTCGAGCGAGCGGAACACGGAACGCTGCCTGGAATCCCTTATCTGGAATGTAAACCACCTTCTTCCTCTCACCTTAACCTCCTCCCTACCTCATGATAAACCATCTGCAAACTCTTGAACAAACAACGGTTTGCAGCAATAAGATGATCGTCTCCCAAAGCCCATTCGCGCAACATGCCTCCCCCTCGCGACCCCCACTCTACGTGGCCTCGCCCCCCGTTGACCCGACCACTGGCCGCCCCATCATCCAACGCCTCCTAATTGCCAACCGCGGAGAAATTGCCGTACGCATCATACAGACCTGTCGAAAACTCAATATCAGCACCGTGGCCGTCTACGTTACAGAGTAAGCCCAGTCCCACCATCAATCCCCCCTCTCGGGCACAACCTGATTATCTTCCAAAACCAGAGACTCCACATCCCGTCACATCCGTGAAGCAGACACAGCCATCTGCCTGGGCTCCCTGAATTCCAGTACCGACGAATCCCCCGGACCACAAGAACCAAGCAACAACACCCCAAGTAACCCCTTCCTCAACATCCCCCTCCTCATCCGCACCGCCCTCGCAACCCAGTCCGATGCCATCCACCCAGGCTACGGCTACCTCAGCGAGAACGCAGCCTTCGCGACCGCCGTGCGCGACGCCGGCCTCATCTTCCTCGGCCCAAGCACCACCGCTCTCACCTCGCTCGGGGACAAACGCGCCGCCAAGAGCTACCTTCGCACGCACGCACCCTCGGTCCCCCTAATCCCCGGCTTCGTCGGCACGAGCCAGACCCCGGCTGACCTGATCAGCGCCGCCACGGAGATTGGATTCCCCGTGATCGTGAAAGCCTCGGCCGGCGGCGGAGGAAAGGGGATGCGGATTGTCCAGGAGCCCTCCCAGTTCGAATCGGAGTTGAGGAGAGCGCAATCCGAAGCGGAGCGGGCATTCGGGCAAAGTGACTGTATTCTCGAGAAATACATCGCGGCCGCCAAGCATGTGGAGATCCAGATCTTTGGAGACCAGGATGGGACGGTCATTGCGTTTGGAGAGCGCGATTGTTCGGTGCAGAGACGGCATCAGAAGGTCGTGGAGGAGACGCCGTGTGGGTTTCTGACGGATGAGATGCGGCGGGAGATGTGTGATACCGCGGTCAGGATCGGGACGCTGATCGAGTATGCCGGGGCGGGAACGGTCGAGTTTGTGGTGGATGTGCAGACGCGCCGGTTTTACTTTCTCGAGGTAAATGCTCGGTTGCAGGTGGAGCATCCGATCACGGAGGAGGTGATGGGGTGGGATTTGGTGGCGTTGCAGGTATATGTCGCGGCCGGGGGCAAGTTAAAGGATTTGCCGGGGTTGGAGGGAGGCAAACTGACCACTCCAGCGCAAGGCCATGCGATTGAGTGTCGTCTTTGTGCCGAAGACCCGAAGAACAACTTCTTTCCGGAGCATGGGAGGATTCAGCTGTGGCGGCCGGCGGACGGGGTTTTGGGCCCGGGACGGGATGTGCGCTATGAGACGGCGATCCAGACCGGGGCCGAGGTTTCCATTTACTTCGATTCGATGATCGCTAAGATCGTTGTCTGGGCGCCGACGCGCGCGCTGGCGATTGAGAAGATGAGTCGCGTGCTGGCCCAGACGGGCTGTGTTGGGGTCAAGACGAATCAGCTCTTCCTGCAGCGCTGTCTGCTGAGTCCCGAGTTCCGGAAGCCGACGTATACGACTGCATTTATTGCAGCGAATTTGGAGCAGTTGCTGCAGTTTCCCGAGGTGCCGCTGCAGGAGTGTCTCCCCTTTATCCCTAGCCTGGTGATTCGAAGTTTGGCCGCGTCGGCAAATACTCGTGCGCGGCCATTCCAGCACATCCGCAGGCAGTTCCGCAATCAGCACTGCGATCCAGTCAACATCCACTGTGACGTGATCACGACCATCACCGGTCCTCAGGCCGAGACCTCGAGCATCTGTGTCTGGGATCCACCGGCAGCAGGGCAGTCCCCCAGCCTGCAACATGCGCGACTCGTCCCTACGCCAGCCCAGAAGGGATCCAGCTCCGCCACAGCCCAATACAATACCCTCAGCAACACTCTCCGTAACGGATCCACCAAAGCTGTCCCATCGAAAGCCATTTCGGTAGACTCCTGGCGACCCATCGAGAACTCTTCAGACCCATCAAGTCCATCCACCACCTTCACCATCGAAGTATCCATTGATGGGCGCAGAATTGTTGCCCACGTCGCTGTTCCTTCCCCTGGAACAGCCACCGGAATGGTCGACCGTTCTCAAAGAATCTACTGCCACTTCCCATCACTTGGGACATACATGGAATTTCAGCGGGACAGCCTGCTCTCGTTTGCGGAGAGTCAAAGGAGGGATGCAACAGCCGAAGAGGCGGGGAAGCGTACGGTCACTGCGCCGATGCCGTGTAAGATTTTATCGATCGAAAACAAGAATGGAGATCCAGTGAAGGCGGGGCAGGTAGTCATGGTGATTGAGAGTATGAAGATGGAGTTGAGCATCTCCGTGGCGGTGGACGGGGCTTTCCAGACGGAGTGGCGGAAGGGAGATGCGGTGGAGGAGGGAAAGGTCCTTTGTTCGGTTGTATAATTTTTTGTATGTATGTTTATAGCTGGTTTGGTGTTGAGATATGATAGATACATATTCTTGGTGCGCATTTCAAGTATTTGTGATCTCCTAGCGGCCTTTTGAACCTTCATAGGGTAAGATGTAAAGAAACAATCTGTCAGGACGAAACGACACCAGCAGAGGAGAGACGCGATTGGAGCATTATGTATCTCTAAGATTGTCGTTCAAGGGCCTATTCAACGGAGCTGCACCATGGAGAACTCAATCCTGAAGTGACACAAGACTCGCTGACCAGCAGCAGCGCATGATATAGTTACACTAAGTGACGAACTATATGAATTATAACTTACTCTGTCCCATCCTGGCTAGAGCCTTGATCTCCTGGTTAATCGCCAAATCGGACAGAATCTCCTCACTGCCACCGCCGACCACCATGACTCGAACATCCCTACTGATCTGCTCAATCCGCGATCCCCGACCATTCTTCGAGTACCCCAAGCCTCCCATCACCTGCTGTGCCTCTCGATTGACCATCTCCAAGGTTCTACCCGCCAATACCTTCAGATTCGCAAACAATCCTCCCATGGCCAGGTCACGGCCTTCCTTGCGCGCCGTATCCGCCATGTAGACCAACTGCTCCATCCAGGCATAGGCCGAATCCAGACTCCGACCCATCGCACTGAACTTGGCGCGAATAACCTGATTTTCAATGAGCTTCTTCCCAAAGGTCTCCCGCGTGATCGCATGCTTGTACGCATCCTCCGCACAGACCCGTGCCATGCGCAGCGAAGTACAAGCCAACCACAACCGTTCATGATTGAAGTCTATTATCCCATCAGTTAACTGCCCTTCACTTATGCCAACGAGAGAGAGAGAGAGAGAGAGAAAAAGGAGATAACTCACTATTCATAATGATAGGAAAACCCTTATTCTCCTCCCCGAGCAGATTTGCCACGGGGACCTCAACCTGATCGAACTCGATATACGTGGAACCTGTTAAAAGTCAATCTCCCCTTTCTTAGCCACTCTAGTCGCAAAGAAAACATACCACTAGCCTCCACCCCCGAATTGCGTATCTTTCGACATGTCACCCCCGGCGTCCCCTTCAACGGAATGACTAACGCCGAAATGCCCGCAATCCCCGGGCCCCCGGTCCGCACCGCTGCCGTACAATAATCCGCGAAAATCCCATTCGTGATCCACTTCTTCGCTCCATTCACCACATACACGTCGCCACGCCGCTCCGCCGTCGTGGTGATTCCCGCGACATCTGAACCCGCTGTTGTATACATCCCATCCCGCAAAAGTCAGCATCCCCACTCCCCGAATTACCAGATAGAGAAAGGCAGGGGGGGAAACATACCATCCGGCTCCGTAACCCCGAGACAAAACCGCACCTCCCCACGTACCAGCGGTCCCAGGAACCGTTCTTTCTGCTCGGCATTCCCGAACTGCACGACGGGTGGCGCCCCGATCGCGTTTCCGCACCCAAGCGCCCACACTACGCCGAGGTATCCGCAGCGCGCCAGCTCGTCGATTACGATCAAGTCATGGAAGGCGTCCCATTGGGAGGCGGGAATGTCGGCAGGGAGGCGTTGGTTGGATTGCTGAATGTGGGCAGTGGCGAGGGGATAGATTCCCGCAGCGGTGTAGCCCTTTTTCGCGTGATATTGTTGGGCCTGTTCTTTGGATTTAGTGTTGTAGTTCGGATGGATGGATGGATGGATGGATAGGGACGCACCTCGGGCGGGACGAAGCCTTGCGCTTCCCATTCGTCGCAGAACGGGGCGATGTGCGTGTCTACATAGTCCCGGACTTCGCGCTGAAGGCGGTGGTGGGAGGGGGTGTAGTAGGGACTGTTGGTGAGGGGGCGGGTGAGCCAGAGGGGGTCGGCGAAGGGAGTGCCTGCTAGGGACATTTTGTGCTCGTAGTTGGGTTTTGGAAGCGATTCACTAGTTCAGGTGGGTTTGGCGTTCTTGCGGGAATGAGGCAAGGGGAGGGAGGTACTATATGGGAATCTGTCGAGAGGTTGGACTGGGTGCGTTTGTATACTTTGATTATACTTATGGGTGCGCTTTCGGCAGGAAGTGGTAGTCGGGTGCGGGCCGGATACGGGTGGTACGTTTTGTCGTTTAGGTGGGTCACCGTGGCCTTTGTAGGATGGATTGAGGGAATGGAAATTGTATATGCTGGGGGATGGTCAGGTTCTGGGGGCTCAATCAGTCTGTCGTCCTTGGGTAATGCGAGTAGATGCTCACTTACAAGTGGGAATACCGTCTCGGTCCGATAAGCCTAATTGGCTGCCCGGTCGAATATCGGTCCGCTGCTCGGTCCGATCCCGTGCTGGTTCCGAGGCTGGCCCATTTCCCCGCAATTAGCATGAAGTCTGGGGTTGAGGACTGGGAGTTGTACGGACTTATTGAGGCACGACGCTAGGTATATCTACACGATAGGTCATCTACAATTGTACTATATTCAGCACACAGGGTACAAGTGAACCATATATCATTCATAGCATTACACCTCATGTCTCAAATGACGCCCGCAGACACCGCTTCCCAAACGACAGCAAAACAAGCCCGAGAAGTAAATCCACCCTACAATCACATCAGTATATTTATTCGGCATAGCCAAGCACACTGCAAGTGAGCCCGCCGTTCCTTGAGCATCATCATCATCAATCCCTGCATCAAAAACCCCTTGACAATCTGCGGCCCCAGCCCCTTGTGCAACCTTGGGCGTCTTAGACAGCAGCATCGTCTTCGCGACAATCAAAGGGTGCGTGACAACGGTTGCAGCAACTTTTGACAACGCCCCAAGCACTACCCTCCCTTAGCAACTAATCATCGTAGCACACGGAGAAGAATGAACATACAAAATGCATCCACTGCTCTCACCCGCGCCACAGTCCCGTCCAGCCGTCCTCGATGCAAACAATCTCGCGCAGCTCCGCGACCATCGACTTGGCATCGTCGCTCGCGCGGCGGGTCTATTGTCTGGTCACAATGACGGCAATGGGATTTGTTCACCGTTGCGCCATTGCGCTCCCTATCGCTCTGAGAAGCAGTTCCGTCACAATATTGGTCTCCCCGGGGTTATGAAATCCCCGGAAGAACCTCTGGTATGCAGTCCGCGCATGGGTCGACCAGTAAAAGTAGGCGAAGTTCATGAAGGCGGTGTTGAGGATGGAGCTGCTCAAGCCACGGTAGAGGCCGGGGAGCCCCTCTTTCTGGATAATGTGGGTTACGGCTGAGATAAAAGAGTCATAGCTTGGTGGGGAGAGGGGTGGACCGTTCGGTTCGCCCTTTTCCTCGCTTCGAGTGGTTCTTTGGCGGTGTTGGACTTGGACTTGTAGTTTTGTTTTGATTGATGCTAGAAGATATTTAAAAATAGTCTCTGGGGTAATTAGAACGCGATGAATTCGGGGACGGGAAAAGAGAGCATTGATACTCACTTGTCCAGTGGACACACAATCACATTCGCTAAGATGCCGTCTGTGGTGCCTGAGGCCATGGCCTCCCATGGTGAGAGTTGGTTCTTGGTTGTCATTTTGAAAAGTGTTCTACCCCTTCATCCGGGGAAGAACAAAAAGAAAAAAAAAAAAAAAAAAAAAAAAAAAAAAAAAAAAAAAAAAAAAGAAAAAGAAAAAAAAAAGACAACGAAAGAAACAAAGAAAGGTAAAAAAAAAACGGGAACCCAAGAAATTTGGCATATGGTCCTCCTTATCCCTAGCAGAAATGGTGGTACAAGGACCCAAGCGGCCCGGAAAAGCCACCCGGTCCGGCCGGATTGAGAGCAATCCGATGCATCGAGAATTCCTCAGCAAATGAGTTCTGTCCTCGGCATCCTATAATTCACAGGAAGTTCACTTCATTCAGTCGTAGAGCCGGCGATAGACCCCGAAACATATCCGCGTGGCTCAGGCCTAAACTCGGAGATGATGGCGAGATCGGCATATTCGACCCCAGATCCCAGAATGTAGACAAGGGGATACTGGGGACATCCGAGCCGGACGCACTCGATGTCTTGCGCGGATTGCTGCCCAGGGTCGAATATTCGAGCATGGACCACAGGGTCTCGTCGGACATGGGATCCAGATCGCTCGGTGGGGTGGTTGGGTCGAGAACGCTACTTAAGTCGTGGCGCTGGGCGTGGAAATCACGCAGGCGGATGGACTAATTCCATCAAAGTGGTTAGTGGTGATTACCTTATAGTGGGTATAATTGACATACCATGTAAGCGGCATGGGTCCAGACTTGGGCTAACCGATCGAGCATATCAACAGCATCCTGGAAACGCTCCAACATTTCCGAAGGCCGACAAGAAAGACTCTGATGCTCCTCCTGTGACGCGATCGACAGAACCCCTCCCGCGATCGCTAGGCAGTAGGCATAGAACGAGGACTCGACGAGTCCGCCCGCCTCGAACACATCCCGGAGAAGAGCCACAAGCTGCGTGGCATGGTCGAGTCCATTTTGCAGGGCGCGGGTGACGAAGCTATGCGGAACCTTGGAGCCAAAGGGCTGGAGGCAAAGGCTAAGAACAAAAGGATGATTCAACAAACAGTGGCACAAATGAAACAGGGTGTGCGCGAAAATCTGGTGCCCCATTTCTTGATGGTTCGGGGTCCCCGTCGCTTCAGCACTTTCCCTTAGCGTATCAATCACTGACACAATTCCCGATTTCGCATAGGATTCAAATAGCAGCAAGGAAGAACTGATCGCGGTGTATTCGGACTTGGTGTCCCAAGGCGGAATCTCGTCCGTCTGCCGGTTGGCATACACGTATCGCGTGCAGCGTCCGAAGATGGACGCCAGAAGAATGACCAGAGCAAAAGGGCTGGGGCTTTCGGCGATCTCGGTGTTCCAGTTGAGGAGCTGATGCAGGGTGTATGTCTTCTTCTTCTCGCCCCGTCGGATAGCGTTCTCGTCGCACGGAAGCTGGACGTGGCAGTCTTGGTCGAGAATGACAATCGGGCGCGAACGTCCACTCGAAATGAGTTTGTCGAGGAGGTAGACGGACCAGAACGCTCGTCGACGGTCCTCCTGCTCCGCAGCAGGTAGGCAAGCATCAGGCTCGCTCATCAAGCCAAGTCCTTGTGAGATGCGCGCTGCCAGACCGATTTTCAACCACCCGGAATTGACGCGCCCCGCTAGGATTTCTGTTAGCTCAGACCAACCGACCCTCCCACGGTCGCTCACGCTAACCTACCTGTATAATCGATGACTGCCAGCATATTCACAGTTCGCACGACATGCACTCCGACATTATCTTCTACTGTCAAGTGATCTGTCAGGACGGACAGCCACGCCTCCCGAGCATAGACCTCTGATGTCTCCAGCACCCTGCCTGCGTAGAACTCGTGGGTGGTGAAGCGGACGGCGGAGGCCAGCACGGCTTGTATCAAGCATCGAGGCAAAGTCCCATTCTGTAGTTCCTGTCGGAAGCCGGTCTCCTGGAAATTACTGTAGGGCTGGTTGTGCACATGAAGAAAATAGGTGTCGATGATGGAGTCCAGGACAGATGGCGAGGGGGTGACAAGGGGGTGAAGACCGATGACAGCAGGCTGTATCAACGGCATCGGCTGCGTGGGAAGTTCAGAATCTATGGATGATCTTTCGCGATCGATCAGCATAGCCGAATAAGTAACCCAAGCTGGGAATGAAAACATACCGGGGTTGTTGTGCGGTGTGCCCACTTAACTCCGCCAAGCGTGACTCGATCAACGAGATGCGCTGCAATAGTTGGGTCTACGAGATAATCAAATCAATTGTGTCACAATCTTAAGGGGAAACACGTCAATGGAACTGCAATCGTACATTCTCAGAGGTTGACGCGGTTGAGGTATTAGGAGGGTTGTCGTTGACGGTGACGGAGTAGGGCTCATAGATGCAGGAGTGCTTATTCCGGCGACAGTGGAAACAGATCGGACGCTCGCCCGAGCATCTAGTTTTCCTACGCCTACATAGACACAAAAGTCCAATTGCTCAGCGAAACTCCAGCCATCCCATATTGCTGGGTGACCTACCGGCAATTTGCGCACGCTTGCCGAATGCGCTTGAGATTGCCCCTTTGCAAGGGGTCCATGAGGAGATGGTGAGATAGGGACACATACGCTAGACCGATAATATTCAATAACCGGATATGATTCAGAGATGATGGTGACAAATTTTGGGGTGTTGGCACACGACGGACAGATAAGTGGAAGTTGCAACGCACAGAAGGGAAGAAGGAAGAAGCGATGGATGGGCGGGTGGAGCCCTCCTTTACACCCCGGCTTGCGCTGCGGGGAAATGTCGATCCTTTCACAACTGGACGGCGCTTTACAAATAGTCAACTGTTGAAGCCTAGGCATGTGACCCCCTAGTCTTGATTGGGTCATGGGGTGGCCTTGTAATTTATCTAGGCAATATATACCATTACCATACCAGACAAGTATGACTGAATCTTGCCACCGGGGGTTTCTCTGCCAACCCCACAAACTAGAGTTAGTCTTTGAATGTGTTCAGACGAGGAGAGAATAGGGAGGATTACTTTTACTGCCCTGCCATGCCCGTAGATCCTGCTGCGCTCCTCCTACTAGCCAGATGCCTCGTTGTTTTGACTGTCTGAGACACTGACTGGTCTGTATTTTATGTTTTATAAGCTTGTACATGGTCTAAAAAGCGAGTGCAGATGGCCAAACTTCCAACTCTTTTGGACTGGTTCCTTTCGTCAACCTGGCTTCGAGGTTGCTAAGTTTCTAGCGTCAAAAGTGATTAGATGTTGTCAAACCAGTTCTACTGCCATCCTAACCACTATTATTTACAGTCGATTTTCATATTCCTGGAGTGTGTGTTCTAATGTATACAATTCAGGAAGTAGGTAGTAACTAAATGCGTAAGATTCCCAGCATCGAAGATTGGGAGGAAGATTTTGTTACCATTGAGAAAAGCCTGGTGTGAGCGGAGGAGAAGTGGCACAAGCGTGGGGCAGCGGAATGTCCGGGACTTGTTTGGGCCGGGGACCAGCGACGGACGAATCGGACACCGAAGCGGCGCGACACCGAGCCGGCAGCCGCGCGCCGCGTCTTGCACCCTCAACTTTCAACTTTTTGAAGTCGCAGAACTCGCCCAAAACGCCCTGTTTCGCAGTTCACTTTGCTTATATCAATATGGCCGATAGAAAGTGAATATTTAGATCTCACTGCCAAGACCTTGAAGAGTAGAAAGTTCTCTATAAAGACTACCTACGCTGCCGCGTTTGACATTAAAATAAGCACTCTTGAAGATTATTTAGATAGCATCAGATTATATACTCAAAAGAATACTAGTAATACAAGTCAAGGACGGATTGCTCATTTTGCGTAACAGTAGCCGATCACCATGGCAATTACTGGTAGCTACGATGCGGAATATGGTCTGGATTTGGGAAGCATACTGCGTATATACAAGACGACAATCCAGAAGAGGGGCAAAATGCGGGGTAAAATACGGACGAAAACCACCCCGGTTGCAGTCATGTGACCTGCACACCATCGCTCGCCTGAATCAAGCAAGCAAGCATGATCACCGTCACAACCTCCGTCTGACTTGAGACACCCTTTTTCACAAAATCAGAAGCACCGTGCAGGCTGAGTCCCAACTTTCTCAGAGGGCTAGTCGCCAACCCTACTGATCTACTCTAGGCGGCGCTTTGAATATTTTCTCGTGTGCTGAGAGCGGGACTCGGATTCATGGGTGCGCGTTGTCGCCGGCCTTGATGAGGTCCGCCATCCGACCCGCAATGGACACCACGAGCATAGGCACGGATAATAGACAAGTTCCAATCATTCTCCTACAGGGTTGAGACCATATGATGGTGCAAATCACCAGGCGTGCGAACACTATTTCGGTCCAGACTTATATGTGGTTCCCTGCTTCTCTCATCTTGGTGATACTCTATCGTTCTCTGCGGGTAGTTCGGCGAGATACTCCTGATACGGGCGCGGAGAACTAGTGCCTCCAAGCGGATGTTTACTGTCACTCCCACGCCACGCACCCGCAGGGGAAGCAGCATGGACCGGCAGCTCGGCCGAAAACCGCGGCGGATGCAGTGGCACTCCCTCCCTCCGAGCGGCGTGTTGTGGGTCCGGTAGGGAGCCCGGGGGCCCGGGCACGAACTGCGCATACTCGTTCGACGGCGAGTGGGGCATCGATTGATACGACCATCGCTGCTGCTGGACCGGGGATGGGACCGGGGAGGCCCTCAGATTGCTGGCGGTGCGATCGGCGGGATTGTAGGTCCGCAGTTTCCCGTCCACGCCCACGGTCGCCTGCAAGACGCCCGCATCCAAGAGCTCGGCTTTCTTGATCAGGCGATCGACCAGCACCTTGGAGCTGGCGCGCAGCTGACTGCGCACCAGTGCCATCAGGGTCAGGTTGCATTCCAGGTCGACCTCCTCGCGCAGATACAAGCCCCCCGGGTCGGCCAGGGGCTTGTCGTCGCCGACTCGCTGGTCCCCATTGATGATTCGGTATGTGCTGCGCAGGTCGACCCCCATCGGAGCGTAGATGTGCGTTCGCAGACCCCACGGCTCGTCCTGGAAGCAGCCCTTGAAGCTGATCGTGCTGGGCACGAAGCGCACCCGCTCGAAGATCTCGTACCAGGACGAGTAGTACTCATCGGCAACAGCGTTGCGGGGGGCCCGGATCGCGTGGTAGGAGAGGACGAACGGGTTCAGGGTAATGATTTCGCCGTGGCTGTGCAGGATGGTAATGGCTAGCTGCTGGGAGATGGTGGGCGGGAGGGGGATGGTGTTGGTGTATGCTTCCTTTTTTCTCAACATTGTGGCAGATTCTCTTCACGGGCTAGATGCGGCAGGGAGATGTGTATACTGAATGGTATAGCCGTTATGCAGAGTCTGCAGAACTAGGATTGCGAGCAGATGATGTCCAGAGGTGGGCGAAAGAAAAAGACGTGAAGTGTCAGCAGGACACCTCGTATTCAGCCAGCACGTGTGATGTGGGAGGGTCTAACCCAATCTAGTCATGCATACATCCTTTAAGATTACTACTGAGCCACTTGCAATTCAATGCTCTGAGCCGCCTTTCGTCCGTCAAATGGATAGGTATGCGCCCGGCCATCCATTTCATTATCGCTTTCCGACCGCCCACTCCGCTGGTTCGCTCCACTCCAATATACAGTAGCTACGGGTACGGAGACATCGAAGCTGATAACGTTGGACAGAGCTGTATAGCAATATAACTTGCTAGCAAGATAGCTTGACACCAAAACAAAGACATTAATCTGAGATTGGGCCCCACAAACGTTTCGCGATAGACAGTTCTAGGCACAGGGTGGCGAGAAGTCATTGATGTCATCACGTAAGCAAATCTACCCCGGAATGCGACCAGCCACATTTGCGGATCGTCTGAGCCACCCCAGATCTAAGCCACATGCCGGATAGCTTGACAGTACAGGATGGAGATGCTAGATTTGAGGCCACTCCGCTGCCTTGCAACCTATAGTCTCCATATCACCTCTTCCTATCCCCCAGTCACGAATTCAAAGCGCGGTCGGCACCTCATAAGCCCACTTATCCTCCCCCGCCCACATCTAGAACGAGTTCTCAGCCTGCTGGTAGGACTCCGCTGGCAGCAAACTATCCAGCTGGGACTCCAAACAGCCATGCTTAGCCATTGACCTACCTCCAAACTGATCCTCAATCCACCGCATCCAGGAACGCTTCGCCGCATTGACAGAAAAGAAATGACCACCGTCCGCGACGGCCAGCAGCTCAAGGTCCCCGGGATAGCGCCTGCATGTCTCCTGCACCCTGCTTCTGGTCAGATTGATATTGACCGTCTCATCCGCCATGCCCTGAATGATGAGCAGGGGTCCTTTAAACGGCAGCCTTCCCGGGTTTGCCAGGTTGGACAAAGCATCCGCGTACCACGACTCATTCCAATCCGGTCGCAGGAACCCCGTTTCCGCAGCGCTCAATAGAGCGTACCAGCCCGAGGTTCCGTGGGTCCATAGCACTACCGGGGCGGATGATGCGTTGGTGGTGCTGCTGTTCTGACGGTGGAAGGCTCGTGGATGAAACGGCCAGAGGATGTACGCAGAGGCAGGAATCAAGGTGCCGTTCGCGTTGGTGGTGCTGTAGATGATGCGAGACAGGGCGGTCTTGGCCGGGATAGAGAATGGTGAAGGATCCGTGAACTTCTGCAGCTTGATCGTTTGGCTGGGCTCTGTGGGCCACTGATCCTGGGACAGACCTTGAATGTTGTAGAAGTCGTCCTGGTGTGCTCCGCCATTGGCAAGCTGAGACTGGTCGAACTCAGTGATGGTGTTAACAATGCGCTCCAGATCGCTTGTGGTTGGCTTGCTTGACTTGCTCCGAGGCGAGAGCGAAACTGGAGTTCCATACTTTTGACTGCGTCTCTGCTTGCGTCACAGCTTGGCCTGCTGCTAGCTTGACTATTACTATCAATGTGAGAAGTGATCGCATGTATCTAATCATCTTGACTGAGATTCTGAGTTGAGTATGTGCGATAGATCTGTTGCCAGCATGTTTGGTAATTTTCGGCTTTGAACTGGCCATAATATCTCCCTTTCATGTCAAGAATGAGCTGCAATCACCCACACATTGTGCTTCACAAAGAGCTTACTGCAAGCATACTTTTAATGGTCCCTCATCTCTCTGACTCGTTCCCTTGGGGCTTGGCGAGAAGAACACAGGGCTGACAGTGGCGCCGTATTACTAATGCGCCACGGATGCGCAAAGGATGGTATCTCTACGAGGAGGCTCAAATGAGGCTCAGGCGTATCGTGTTTGAGGTGCGTATGTGTAGATGCACCTCGATGAATCCTGAAAGGCAGTTTAGTGAGTCTGGATCATACGGTTTGGAATAATGCTCGTATGACTCAATGGCACGATGCGTATAAAGCTATGAGATGAATCCCGGCACCACTAGACAGGTCAATCATATACCTCGACCTTTGTAGCTACAGGGGCCTGTAACCTCTGAGAATAGTGTCCTACTAGACTTGTTAGGCCAGTGTAACATTGTCTTAAACCCAAGCTACCAAGTTGCTGGACTAAGAAACTGTTCAGTCTGCTGACGGTAACGTAGATACACTCTGGCAATTAGCCCAGGGTGAATTTGTTGAAGTTGAAATACAAGCAGATAATGCCACGGGCAGGCCGGAGAAGCCCTGATCGGATTAGTCCCTATTCATTGGCAGTGACCAGCATCAAGTAGCAAATCGCTTCAAAAGATCCTCAACCGTCTCCACCAAAGTCTCCTCCAAGCTCCGATACTGCAACCCCAGGACCCTTTCCGCCTTACTTCCATCCGCGATATACGTCTCCACGGACCCAGCATTAGCCCGATACGGCACCTTGTCCCCGAGCTGCGGAAACTTCTCTCGCAGAATCCCGCACGCCTCCTGATACAAGAACCGACCTCCGGCGACAAGAAAGCGCTCTCCCCCGGCTTCCGCCCGCGTATATGCCTGGTAATGCGCCTCCGCCACATCCTTCACGTTGGCGAAGGCCAAGAAGTCATGATCGGGGACTTCGGTGCGCGAGCCATTCACCAGGTTCCAGATCGTCTCTGTTGACTCGTTGAGTCGGTTGTTCCCCTTATGCTGTGGGTTTCCCAGCGCGGGACCGAAGATCCACGGCGGGCAGATGGTCGTGACGCTGAAGGTGGGGGGCGGTGCGGCGCTCTCGACCCATTCCCAGAGCTTCCGCTCGGCGAGGGCTTTGGAGGCGCAGTACGCGACGCTCGCGTCGGTGGTGGTCTTGGCTTCCTCGTAGGTGCAGGGGTTCCAGTCGGCCTCGGTGTAGCGGTAGCCCGGGCGGAGGCCCTGACTGAGGTCTAGGATGGCGGCGAAGGAGGAGGTGACCACCACGCGCCGGACGGCGGTTCCGTGAGCGGCGATGGAGTCGAGGACGTTGAGCGTACCCTGGATCGCGGGCTGAAGGAGGTCTTTCTCGTTGTCGGCGACGGTGAGAGCAAACGGGCTGGCGGTGTGGATAACACCGCATACATCTTTCACAGCAGAGTCAAAGGCACCCGGAGCAGCAATGTCCGGAACGATGGTGAATGAGAGCCGGTTGGCTTGGTCGGGAGGATAGCGGGATTTGACTGTCTCGGCTGTCGAAGCGGAGCGAACAGTGCCGCGAATGTTGTAGCCTGCCTCCAGGAATCGCTGGATGATGTGCGAGGCGACGAATCCTGAGGCGCCGGTGACGAGGAGTGTCTCTGGCATTGTGGTGCAGGTTTGCTTGTCAAGTAGGAATTTGTAGCTGTAGGTTGTTCTTGCGGAGGACACAGGAGAAGTAATTACGAGTTTTCCCTAGTCAGGTCCCTTCACGCGGGCCATCATATAAATATAGTGAAACATCTCTCCTATCTAGTTTTGTTGCAACACTCTTGTCACCTTGCGTGTCACGAATACGAGAGTGGTTATTCGAACAAAGAGGACTGACGTAGACGATTATCTCTCGAAGTCCCGTCCGCTTAGGGCTAATCCTCCCGCTACCCGCTATCTCCGTCGATACGAGGTCCGCGTGGGGTCACCTATCATGCCAGGGTTCCAGAACAGGGTTTGATCTGGCCATGAGGCAAATTTCCGATCCCATCGCGGTGGAGTCGTCGGCGTCCCTTGTCCAGTAGATATCGTGGCTCGCCATATGTGAAGCCTGAGGCATACGGCTGGGTTTCCAAGCGAAAGCGAGGAAACTCCAAGTAGACATTGAACGTAGTACGGTATGCTCACTGGGCAGGACCAAGACGTATGTAGGCAAACATCAAGTCGCATAGGACGACTACCATGTAAAAAAATTCTCAATGATAACGCTCGCAAATCACGCTCGAAAAAGCAAACGCAATGATGGTCAGAGTCCCCGCCAGCTAACGAGCACCAGCGACTTCCACCCCCCACCTCTATTCTCTGGATAGGGCTCCCAATCTTTCAGTGTCTGCGTGACTTCGAAATTATTCTTCTCGAAGACACGAATGCTACCGATGTTTTCCTCAAACGCCGCGGCCTTGAGATGCTTCACATTCATCCGCGGCACCCCCCAGTCCTGGATCAGCGTGCGCAGGGCCAGACTCATTATCCCGCGGCCGTGATAAGAAGGTGCCAGAAAATCTGCAAGGACGTATAATCAGAGACGCGCTTCTTCTCAAGGGAAAGACAAGGAAGGACAGAGGTTTGCTTACTGCCAATCGCCCATACAATTCTTTCGTCTCCCGCCGGTAAGTCCCCATTCAGCCGCTGCGCCTCGGCTCGCTCCGCGCTACCTTGGCGGTACTCGTAGAACTGGTAGCGTGCAATTCCAATGTCCCCGATCAGAGTATCTTTCAGCGGATGACCAGTCTCAGGATCTTCTTCTGTAACTTCCCGAATGACTGTGAACGGACACAAGCCAAAGTATCGTTGCCCCTGAACCGAGGTCTCGAATTCAGTGCGCAGGGCCTGCAGAACTGGCTCTGCAGCAGCGATTTGGGTGTTCATCCATGCCTCCGCGTGCTCGCGAAGATACGGAAATGGAGAGCCGGTTAGGTTCAGGTAGATGCGTGGATCATTGAGGAGAGGGAGTTTGGCGGCGATGGTCTCTTCGAGTTGATGCGGTCGGTGGGGCGTGATGATGATTTGTCTCAGGGGAGCCGGGAGACGCAGGTACGGCTCTTGCGTTTGGGGGTTGTACAGAACAGGCATTGTGGGCAGATGAGAATGGAATGTAACTTTCTGTCTATTCTCAAAAACGACTTCCCAGAATTCTGACAGCGGTCGTGAATGCTTATTTATATCTCACTTGATTAATTGCTTATGTGAGGCCCTGCTCGTGCACTGCCTCGAATTAGTGTCCGTGAGTCATTCCGATGCCGATGCCGATGCCGCTCTCCCAGCGCGATCTCTCACTGTACACGCAAAGAAACCAGAGATACTCTAACCCGTAAGATACAAGCTTCCATTAGACTTTATTCTACTTTGTTACTAGCTGCAGTATGATCGTGGACTTTCCGGACTAAGGTAGAGACAACGGAATGCCGAGGGAGAGCGACACGGGCCGCAATGCTTGCCGCACGTGAACTCGATTGATAGGATAACTCCATGCAATAGCCATGATTCGGCAAATTCCATCTACCGCAGGGTGCATTGTAGTCTTGGCTCATCCTTGATCCAGAGAGACTGAGTGGTGCGGGGGACCTGATCCGCTCCAGGAAGGGATAAGCTTGCTCAAAGTACTTTGGGGTACTATATACTGCTCTTCTGGCAACGCCAAGAAGGATGAAGGGTCTCTCGTTGTGTATAACGGAGTAGGGCAATATTGAAGGGCTTGGCGATATAATCTATACCAGTTCCAACTTAGCGTCACCCATTGGAATGAGTCAACAAACACCAACCCCGCAAGGGTTTACAGTATAATAGTAACCAACTGATATAACGATCTCCTTGACGAAACACACAAACACGACTGACTTGAGCACCTCCTCACCATCGTTTCCTTCCAATCATGTCTTTACCCACTGACCCTAAACAATGGGTCAAAGAGCGGTTCCTCATCTCCACCGATAAGAATCTCTTATCTCCCACGGCAATCAACCACGCCTTCGCACAGGACTGTCTTTACTGGGCCAATCCTGTTCCGGAGGAAGTGTTGCGCAGCCTGATCGAAAACTCATTCTGCTTCGGTCTTTACCAAGTCAATGCTCCTCCATTCCAAGACGGCGACCACCATGATGCCGCACTTCAGAAGCCCGACGCAGCCCATGTCGAGCAGATAGGGTTCGCGCGGCTGATCACTGACGGCGTCACCTTCGCATACCTGACCGATCTCTACGTGCTACCGGAGTATCAAGGCCATGGACTTGGGGGCTGGCTGATCGACTGTGTGGACGAAGGTAGTCCGTCCGTTGCCGCACTTGCGGTGGTTCATGTTGCGGACCTCGGTTGCGAAGAGCCAAGCCTCTTACGAGAGTCGGCTGGGGATGGAGGTCCTCGAGTCGGGGGATATTAGCCAGGGGCCGGTCATGATGGGGAGGAAGGGGAGGGCTGGAGGAGTATGATGAGGATTGCCATGATGGTAGTATCCTGGAAGGCGTCACTCTGACAATGAGTGCTCCAGCGATTCATTTATGTTGTTGTATCATGTTAACAAGCATCGTTACTCTGACCCACCGATCTCACATTCATAGACTCTATAACTTACACCATGCGTCCTTCTTATTAATAGACAATAGACAACTGGACTCGAATCATTTTTGATGATCCCCCGCAAACTTCTCATACACCGGCCCAAACTCCCTATACCACGCATCCACCAGCTCTCGACTCATCCCCGGCGCAATAACGCTCTCCCCACGCTCCACCCCCGCGACAAAAAACTCCATAAACTCCTCCACCGACAGCGCATTCGGATTTTTGTGTTTCTTATTATCGTCCGGATCCGACCGGTCGCGGTGCAGATCCGTGCCCACCGACGGGGGCACGATCTCCACCACGCGGATCTTCTCGTAGCCGGCCTTCTCCAGCTGCGTGCGCAGCGTCATCGACCAGAAGTGCAACCACGCCTTGGTGCCGTTATACACGGGGTTGATGACGGAGAAGGGCACAAACCCCAGCACAGACGAGACGTTCATGATGGTCGCGCCGTGCGGGTGCGTCCGGAAGTGCTCCAGCAGGCCCAGCGTGAGGTGCATGGGCCCCCGGATGTTGATGTTGATCTCTTGGTCTGCTTTGGTGAGAAAGTCGGCGGGTGTGTCGTGCACGATGTCGAGAGGGCGCTGTACGCCGGCATTGTTGACAAGACAGTCCACCTCGGGATATTTTTGTGTGAGGTTGCGGATGAACTTCGGGATCTGGGCGACGAGGCCGGTGTCGAGCACGAAGTAGTCGGTCGCCCCGATCTCTCGGGCGGTTTGCTGCAGGGTCTGCTCGGTGCGGCCGGCGATGATCACTTTCTTGCCCTGGCTGAGGAGGTAGCGGGCGATTGCTTTGCCGAGGCCGCCGCCGCCGCCGGTGACGAGGGCGCAGTTGAAGGATAAGTCGGACATTTTGTACAGTATCTGATGATCGTGGGCTAATTAATGTGGGAGGGTTGATTCTTGATGGCGGATTGGAGGTTGCTTGATGAATTAGTTCAAGAGAAGGAGAGCTGGCTTGAATGCGTTCTCCAGTCCGGGAAGAAAAGTGGTGTGGTGTTTATGACGCCGCAGAGTGGCGTCGGTTGGGGTTCCGGGATGGCTTGGCGGAAAAGATCCCCCAATTCTATGGGATTTGGGGATCGCTGTCTCCCGGTTCCAGACGTGTCGGGAGTCAATTCCACGGTGTGATTTCGGCCATTGCTACGTCAGAGTCTGTTTTGAACTTCTACTTGCACAACATACGTAGCGTTGCAACATTGAGGCCCACCCGGCCAATGTATAAGTTATTGCGCTCTTTGCAACGAACCGCATCTCCTGGAGACTTTGAAGCTTCCCGGATAAGTACGATAAGGTCAGACGCTACAAGTCTAGATACTTCATCCACCTTCACAAAGCTTATATACTCCGAGTAGGGATGATCGCCAGAATATTGATCTTGGTTAAGTGATTTCTGCGTGAGTCTGCCGAACCAGCCCCCCTCAATCCCCCTCAGTCACGGTACAACTCAAGCAAAACGCATACCATCACCTCTCACCAATCGCATCTCGGAAATCACCCAGGAACCGCCACATTCCCCGCTCCCCGAGCCTCGCCTCCCGCCAGCCATTCAAAGTCCGGTGCGGGAAGAACCAGCCGGCATCCCGATCCTCCGCGCCCGTGAAAATGGGCAAGAGACTGTGGTCATGAGCCGTTAGTACCAGAACCCGCTCATCGGCGTCGAATTCGGTCAATCCCTTGACGGTTTGCAGATACTCGTCTGAATCATGGCAGAATTCTGCGGCGGACTCGAAGAATGGACGGTCATTTTTGCCCGGGTGGCAGCCCAGCGGGTGGAAGATGTGGCCTGGGCAGACGCTCCCGAATCGGGGATGCGATGGCAGTAGGGAGGGTGAGATGCTCGCTGGAATCGGGTTATGCTCTGAAGGACGGAACTCGCCGGGGTGGTGGGCGAAGTCCTGTTGCTCAGTAGTTGGTTAGGGCTGGGTTTCCCCGTGTGTGGCTGGCGGGGATAGCAAAGCGTCATGATCTCGATGAGACTTACCGCCCCCATGAGAACGAAGGAATCCGGCTGCACGCGTGCCAGCCCTCCCATGTGGTCTGCTGTGTGCCCTGGAGTATGCAGGAGGTAGAAGCTCCCATCGCCGAACCAGTCAATTGCGGGAAAGCCCCCAATCTGTAGCGTCGGCTGGTCGAATTGCAGTTCACGAAGCGTGCGCCCCTTCCAGTCATCTGACTTGACGGGGGAATCGGGTTGCGCGGGCCATCCGGGCGTGCATTTGTTTATGAAGCCGGGTCCGACGACCAGATCGGTGGAGCTGGGGAATAACGATGGGTCGCCGGTGTGGTCGAAGTGGTAGTGCGACCAGATGATGGCCTTGATCTCGTCGAGGGCCACGTCGTTCTCGACTAGGATATCCGAGACGTTGCGCGGGGAGGAGATCTTCCAGTCTTTGCTCGAGGGGTTGGTGCAGGGCTCGGCAAACACGGGTGCAAGATTGTGAAAGTCCGATCGCAAAGACAGGTCGAATAAGAGGCGCTGGCCGGATGGGTGCGTGATGAGAAAGCAATACGACGGCACTGCCATGCGGTCGTAGCCTTGGATCTCGGGAATCAGGAACTGTTGTGCGGGGAGGTCCAGACGAGCGCCTCTGTATGTTGTCTTTTTAGCTATCTGAGCCGCGCACACGGTGGCAGAAACCACTTACGAGTCGATGAGGAAGACTTCGACCGTGTCTGAAGACTGAGGTAGATCGACTAATGGCATGATGCCGTTGGATTTGTGAATCAGTCCGATATGTTTCTAGCGATTAGATGGGACAATGCATTTGATGGAACATGTTTTCTAAACTACACCTTTAATGACTACTACCATTACATCATCTTTGCGGCGTCCGAGATGGATTGGGGAGAATTGGGGTGGACCCACTAATCTGTCTCATCAAGGTCAAAATATTGCTAGGTTGTCAATGTCCATTCTTAAACTGCTACATCCAAGTACTCATATCTCAGGAAGAGTTGAACATAATCTACCTTTTAGGGTTTGTACCAGCGAGGGTCCAGGGACCATGGGGGAAATGGCTTGATGCCTGAGGCATGAAATGTGAGGTGAGCTCATCATTCTAGCTGAGTCATGATTCCCCAATAAGTTACCCCAAATCCCCAAATTCCCATTCCCCAATTTTACTCCCTAGGTTCACTTGGCATTTGTCCCAACGAACATCTTCCTCGTCTTCCAGTACCTTTAAGAGATTTCCAACACGATCTCCGCATTACTATTGGCTCTGTACCGGCAAGCCATGGCCTCCAGAGCAGGAAAAGGATTCCGGTCGGGCATTAGTCTGCAATATATGCATACCAGCGTTTGCTCGACTGGCAGGAGCATCTGCAGCGTCATCGAAGAACACGTACTATGCCCACTCCACGAGTCAAGTCAATCCAGCAAGACCATCCTCCGGGTACTCCCCGGCATCCTGCGCTAGGGTATAGTTCCCCGTGTAAAGATATACAACCATAAGTGACAGATACCGGTCATCCTTCCTATCCTATGCGCTGTCAACTTAGGTTGCGAGTGCACCTCATCAGAGAGAAATGCTTGCCTGGAAGCTGGCTTTGCAGGCTACTGCAAGTACTCTTGTCTAGGGACAGACAATCACTTGATGCACGGAGAAGGTTGTCCCCTTCACATTCGAGAGCAAAGTCACTGTATGTTCCGAGCTTGGCTTGTTTGTAGTGAGTCTGCTTTAGACGTCTGGTCTGTGCGGGTTCAGGCTCTTCTCGATCTCTCTTTTCCCAGTACCTGATCTGATCTTCTAACTAGCGAATGACTGCCACAATGTCACCGTGCGAAGGGGGAGTCATCGAATTTGCCGAGCGGTATTCGGACATCTGCTCGGAGTATTGGAAAAAGCCGAACCACAAGCGAGCTGTTGGTGTATAGTACTCCATGGTGAAGATGCTGCTTGATCTATATAAGAAGAAGGTGAAAGTGTTCATCTCCGACTTGGAAAAATAACACAGCCCAACCATCTCACTCGAATTTACCCCAACATTGATTACCCATCGCATAAGACAAGTCAACAGCACAATGCCGCAGCACCTTGCTATCATCGGTGCAGGTCCATCAGGCCTCACGCTTGCAGCCATTTTGCAGAAATATTCCGTTCCTTTCACCATCTTCGAGCGTGAAACATCCTCCAGCTCGCGATTCCAGGGCGGATCATTGGATCTCCACCCGGACTCCGGCCAGCTTGCCCTCCGCGAGGCGGGTCTTTGGGAAGACTTCCAGCAGTATGCTCGCTACCACGACCAAGACTACCGCTTCGGAGACAAGACCGCAGCAACATGGTTATTCCACCAGGCGCCCGCGAACGCCGACGGTCGTCCAGAGATTGACCGGTCGATGCTGCGCAAGATCTTAATCGATTCTCTCGACCCCAGGAACATCCGCTGGGGCTATTCGGTGTCGGAGATCACCCCGCAGAGTAATGGGCAGATCCAGCTGACTTTCCAAGACGGCCAGGACAGTGTCCTGACAGACCTCGTCGTCGGCGCCGACGGGACACGGTCGAAAGTCCGCCCGTTGCTGACCTCCATGCAACCGGCCTACACTGGGTTGACGGTGATTGACTGCCGCATTTCCAACCTCGATGAACAGTTCCCTCACCTGGCGGATTTCGTGGGTCGTGGGACATTCTTCTGTCTGTCCGAGGGCAGCGGCATTTTCATGCAGCGCAACGGGGACGGGAGCTTGCGCGTCTACCCCTGTCTGCGCGTGGAGGAGAAATGGGCCTGGAGTGATCCCTCCTTCGACTGGTGGGATTGCGCAAAGATGACCGGGTTCCTGATTGATACCTTCTTCTCGACCTGGGATCCGCGGTTGAAGGAAGTGATCCGTAGTGTGGATCCGGTTCTGACCCCCCGGGCACAGTACCGTATGCCTCCGGGGCTACGGTATCCGCATCGGAAGGGTTTCACGTTGATTGAAGATGCTTTGCATGTTATGTCATGGTTTGCGGGCGAGGGGGCCAATTTGGCGATGCTGGATGCGTTGGATATCGCCCGGGCGATCGTTGCGAATCCGGGTGATCTGGATCAGGCGGTGCGTGACTACGAGGTCAAGGTCGTGGCTTCGTGCAGGGCTGATGTCACGAATGAGATGTCGCAAGACCTTCTTGTGAAGGCCATGGCGGATGATTCGCCGAGAGCGTATGTCGAGGCGATGGCGAAGGCGATGGATGTTTGGTTTGCTGCTGGAAAGCTGTTGGCACGAGGTGAAACAAAAGCTTTGTAGGGAGATACAACGTATCCACGGGTCTTGTAGTAGAGGTATAATTATTTGACCTGTCTCCTTTGGCTGAATGGCATTGAATATGATCAGTGACCAGATAGACGCACAGAATCACTGTAAAATGGAGAAATTGCGTAGAAAACTTGCCTCGTGATCAAAGAGGGTTCCCAGATATGCCCAACAATTGATGTTGATCGGGTTGTGGACAGCGAACCTCATGATAGCAAGATTCAATGCTAGTATTCACAGCGACAGGTTTGAATACACAATACACATTCCACGTGAGTTCTATCAGTAGATAACCTCTCTAGACAAGACAGACCTAGAAGGAACATTGAAATATCTTACTGTCAGGAAGATATATCCCAATTAACGGGATATGCTACCGGAGCATGACTTCTCCAACAACATCGTTCAGTAAATAAATATAGGCCGTGGAAGAAATGCCGAAGTGCATAAAAAGCCACGACTGTGGATAAGCGGGATTAGCTAAGCAGTTCTACGTTCCAGCGCAGAAAAGTCCGAATTGTCCGAGTCGATCGATCTTACGCACAAACAACACCCAGCCTCGCTTCAAACGATGGATCCACACCGAACAGGACCCCTTCGAACGGTCCAGAACCAGTCCGGAGTCAGGAAGCGACGACCCCCTCTCGCTTGCCTGCAGTGCTATCAGCGCAAGCTGAAGTGTGGCAAGGAGTTCCCATCGTGTAGCCGCTGCGTGAAGGCCGGACTTGCGCATCAATGCACCTATCGCGGGAACTCGGCCCCTCAAGGACGCGTTAGCAACACTGTGGTTCATCTCGACACTACAACAGACTCACCTGGGTTTAATGCGTCCTTACAGGATGAGTCGCAAGAGGTCTCTCGGCCATCCCCGGGTGGCGCGGGGGAGATCACCCATCTGCGCCGGAGAAAGGGTGTCGTCCAATTCTATGGCTATAGCTATCACATGAACTTCTATCAGCAGGTAAGTACTCATCCGGCTGGTGACAGTAGCAATGAATATTGAGCTTGAACGGATAGTTTCCGGAGCTCCGATCTTACATCGGCGGAGTGAAAGCTAAGAACCAAATGATCAACATCGCTCGAGACCAAGTATATCCGCCCCAGGGTGAGAGCATCAGCCACAATCGACTCGGCACGAACTCTGTCGGCGCATCGTCCCTGGAATCTCTGCTGCCAACCAAGCCAGTGGCAGACGCTTTGGTGCAGAATTACCTTGACCGGTTCGAGACTATGCATCGCGCGCTGGATCGATCGGTTTTCCTGGCCGAGTATGATCGCCACTGGAACGATCCGTTGTCAAGCGCGCCTATTTTCCTCATACAGCTTCTACTGATACTTGCGACCGGTGCAAGTCTTCATCCTGATACCTGTCTCGCAGCGTGGAGCGAAGCATCAATCTATACCCTCACAACGCAGTGGATTGAGGCCGCAGAGTCATGGCTCACTTCTTCCCACCACCATGTCCCACATTCACCCCAGGTCATTGCGAGTCACTGCTTGCTACTGATTGCCAAGCGAGCGAACTATATGCAGGGGAGCTCTTTCTGGACCAGTACGGGCGCACTGGTTCGAATGGCAATGGCAGCGGGCTACCACCGCGAAGTCAATGCGGCAGCTCGGATCGCTCCTTACGATCAAGAGATGCGACGTAGGCTGTGGATCACAATCGTCGAGCTAGACATGCAAGCCGCTTTAGAAAGGGGGATGCCTCCGACCATCCGACCAGGGGATTTTTCGACACGAATGCCTCTGCACGTCGATGACGGCGAGGTCCTTGAAACCCCCGATGATCCACAGTCGGCCACGCCACTTGACACCCTCACGGATTGCTCGTTCCAAAATGCCTTCTGGCAGTCTATGCCTACCAGATGTGCCATCTGTACGTATGTCAATGGATGTGATGGAGACATCGGATTTGAGCGAGTCCAAGAACTTGGGGAGGGTTTGTACAAAGCGATCCGCGATATTCCTGAGTGGAACACCACAGGATCAGATCTCCCTCGGCGGAGAACAGCAATGTATTTGAGAACCATGCTCAAGATCTACTTGTGCCAGTACTCCCTCCTGCTGTATACGAAGTTCACTTGCCAGTCGCCGGACTCTTTCCAGTCGTCGATATGTCGTCGTGCTCGTCTAGAGGCCAGTACGACGATTGTGGAGTGTTATAGGAAGCTCATCGTGGATGAAATTCTGGAGAGACATGCTTGCCGGACTGGGCTGATGGTTGCGGCCTTGAATATCTGTCATGAGATCTACCTCTCTTATGGTCCTGGTGGTGAGTGAACCCCCCTCCCTACGCTCTGTGAACAGGGTGGTTGAACACGCAAATTGTCTGACCGTTGAGAAGAAGCCATCTCGATGATCACAAATCTCGGAGTCTCGCAACATCTCCTAGACGCCCTCGAGCAGGTGCTCAGCATTCTCGAAAGGAGAATAAAAAGGACAATGCATGGACTCAATGAGTATTACGTCCTGAGCATGATCATTGGTCTAGTCAAAGCCAAATTGTCTCCCGAAACCAGAGTGGTCAGTGACAAGGAAGCCGCGCATCGAGCGACTATAGTCTGCACCTTTTTACAAGAAGCCCGCGCTTCCTTACTAGCAGCCGATCAGCCTACGTATCCTGTGTATGTCTCCTTCTTTTCCTATCACCATTTCGTCACTCATGCAGGCAACAGTGAGACACAATTGGCGTCGGGTGCACAGCCACTCGCTGCCACGCTAAACGATGTCACCGAGGCTTTGGGATTTGGGGTATGTCAACATGGCCATGCGCAGTCACCGTTAGCTAATACTGTTGGCCAGCTCCCTGATACCCCTGGATTCGGCGAAGATGACTTTTCGGTCGATTTTTTTCTCCAAGATCCCTCTTCATTCTTCCAGTGAGGCAAATGGCATCCGTCTTTCAGAATAGTTATACGAGCGGGGAAGTACATATGGCAGGAATAACTGGGCCACTTCCGACAGGGAGACTCAGTGCGGACCCAACGCCTCAGGGTATCCACTTGCCTCGCCGCCATTATCTCTGCACGCTTTCTGAGTGATGATGAGTCGATAATCTTACAGCCGACTCGATTCTCCTTCTGCCGTGGAACATAGCATACAGGTCTCTACAGATCTGACTCTATGAACGGATCATATCTGATTAGCTGCCGGTATCTAGGATTGCGATATGTGTTCTTCCTAAGTCACTAGCATAATTCCCGTCTCTTTTCGGGTGTATAGAAGAAGTAATCCAAATCCTTTCTCCCCTCTACAATTCAGAAGATGCATCAGAGACACATCCTGCACAACCTGCACAGCCTCCAACGCGTGCATCCCTCAGGGCAAACTCAAAAACAAATTCAACAATTTCGGGAAATTCGGCGTGCCCAGGCCCGTTACCGGATCCCATCTGCAGACCAGACTGAAGTCAGCTCCGGCTTACTCAAAGAAAAAAAATATTATAAACAAGAGAAAACCTACCCAGCAGCCGTGGCAAACCCATCAGTCCCACAGCCAGGATTGGTCTTATTAGTAATATCATTCAACACATCGGCATGCCTGTAAAGCACGGGGTTCAAGAAACCCACCGCCCCCTTTCCAGCAGCGATGCGTTTCTCGATGATACGGTTGATCACCGAGGCGATATCGGGGTACCTGTTGTGAATCAGTCCCAGTTTGATTAACTTCACAGGGGGAAGGTTGGGTGTATCGCTGGCGAAAACCTACTCGCACTCGTGCCGCCCTCGAGGATATACTGGCCGGCCTTGTACATGGCGATATTATCGCCGTTCGCGGCGACGTCGGGGTATCCGCGTCCGAGGCGGTTGTAGAGGCCACCGTTCTTTACCTATGTTGGCGCCGCCCTTGTAGTAGGGGTAGAGGGGGTTGTGGTTCTTGAAGTATCTGTGCATTGCGTGGGTTAGTTGGAGGGTTGGTGGAGGGACCCCAGGGGTAGAGGTAAGTAAGCACTGACTCGGCAACCGCTTGCGATTGATACTCAGGGATTGGGTAGATGTTGCTGAAGCCGCCACCGGAGGCATAGGCACTGCGGTAGCGATGACCCGGGGGGTCGTAGGAGCCTCCGCCTCAGCAGCGGTTGCGTTGAACGCTATCTGGCAGATGATTATCGCATCGACAGAGGATGCCTTTATTTTCAGATGGCACGGTGTCGAGGTATTATATCGGCTCGTGCTGAATGAGCCGGTACATATGCCGCGGCACTTCTATCCATATTCAACGTGTTGTCATGGTAATACTAGCATTATACTACTTCCAAAGTAGTGCTTCTAAGCTGCTCCGAATGATGTCATAACCTTGTACCAAGAAACATGTTTAAAAGCCCCATGATCTGAAGACGCACTAGTGATGCGATGGTAAGCTTGTATTATAAATGTGCTCAGATCATATATATGAGCGTCAATAATTGAGTTTCAGCCCGGGGGTCGGAACAATCGTAGCCGTTAAGAAATGGTCGGGCTAATGCTTCTTGACCCATTGTGTCTGGATGTCAAATACATCCCTCTCCTTCCCTACCATAGCTTTTAGGCCAATTTCTCGTAGCTCTGTAAACAGAGAAATGGCATCATTGTATAGATGATGCGGGGTCCAGCCATCCCTCGATACTACGTTCGCGACAGAATTCCAGAAATCCTGCACATCATTCCACCCGTCACTTTCCTCTGCATGAACACGAAGATCATCCTCAGTGAAATGGATAGGACATGGGATGTCGAACCCTAATTCATTCCAATATCTGAAGTATTATTAGCGAAACACTATACCGAATTTGCCGAGACGTGCTTACCTCTCAAGCCTAATTAGAGATTCCCGCAAGGGTAGAAGCTCGTCATCCCATGTGTCGCCCACGAACAAAATTGGATTGCACCTTGTTCTACCGTGATCAAATCGAAGGACTTTATCGAGAAGGGGAAGCTCTTTAGCAATCTGCTTTTCGTAGAGGTAGAGCAGTATCGAGCTACTTATGAGGCCTCTGATCCGAATCTTCACCGCTGGATCAAGCTGTTTGAAGTTCTCCGGGGCTTTCAAGATGACTTCACCACTATATTCAACTAGTCTTGGATGACGTGCTTGAAGGATCAATGGTGCTGCCCAGAGCCCTTGCCAGTCTATAATGCTCGAAATTTTACTATCACAGACAAAAATATTTCCAGCGTGTAAATCGGTATGCCATATGTATGGTGCAACCACGGTAGGATTGTTCGGAAGTAAATAAGGAGCAACTTTACGATATTTCCGCAGCAGAGAAATGTGGCTGCTAGGAGAATTTTGCGTTGCTGATGTTACCAGCGGGTCGTCTTCGGCTCTTGGAGTTGCGTACTGCTGAATCCATGCCTCTTCTCGGTGAGCTAGGGAGAGCACATAATCCTGTGGTTGTTTCTCTTCCGAGATGTTAGTTAGATCGACAAGGAGAAACAGGGGATAAACATGGTCCTCGGTCCAACGCCATCTCTGCACGTTCTTTGGACCAATAGTGTCTTTCTGCGATGGGACCGATGACAAAACGACGGCGTATTTTGTCTTTGAGCTCAGAAGATATTTCTGCAGAGGTATCTGCTGGCACGGCATCTCTTATATCAGCACCAGCATAGTACAAACTCCCATAGCTAAGTCATTATTAGCAAGATAAAAGACCAGACTTGACTGCGAACACATTACTTATTTAGTGGCGCTTGAAGCATTTTTTTCTCTAGTTGGACTAGGTCCTTCATGACCTCTATCTTCTCTTCGAGAGAAAAATTATCCCATAAATCTTCCAGCTTTGTACCGGGGGCTTCCTCCATGATGATATACTCAGAACCGACAGAGTTATTCACATCTGCATTCCAAGCATACACTTGAGGTGTTGGTATTCCGAGGATTGTGCGGGCCTGGATTCTCTATTAGAGATATCATACGGAAAAAAACATGTTCAGTACTTACAAACTCCATGGTTGCGACTTCAGAGGCTGTAGTGTAGTATCTAGGCCCAGCAATAGAATAGGGTATTCTTACAATCACGGATAATCCATCACCCATCTCAAGCCTGAAGGTTTTATTGAAAGATCCTTCTGCCAGCTTTCTGATTGCAGTGCACGTATCTGCTCCAACACTCTGCGCTGCGATTCTTTGCAGCTCAAGCACATTGAAAGGTGAAAATCGGTCTCGCAGTTGCTGCTCTTCATTCCATAGGCAACGGCCATTTGTATATCGGAAAAGATCCGCGTCAGGCTGTGGCATGCTTGCGGAGCTCATAAAATGCAGAAATCAGTAAGACTTTTCAAAGAGATGAGGGAAGGGGGTAATTGGTATTCTTGAAGCCAAGTGCGTTTTATAGTGATGATAACTCTTAGAAGAAACAGTGTTCTTCCACGCAGATGCAGTAAATAACTTCATTGTTGGCTTCAATAGTGATAATCTGTGTTATGTGAGAAGGTCGCCGCTGCCTTTTAAGTATTTACAAGTCCCCTCATCGCGGTATCTCCATTACTACTAGTTCGCGCCCGCTAGCCCCACTTAGCCCCCGTCTCAAACACGTTACAACCGCGAAACCCACAAAAGCTTTAACGGTCATGAAATAGTGGATCAACAATCTCAGACTACGCACAGGAAGATAGATCTTAATATTAAGAATAGTTAAGATAGTTAACTATCCAGTTGTTAACTATACTATGATTAGGTATAAAAATTTCCAACCTGACTATAACCTGGCGGTCAGGTATAAAAATTCCAATTAACCTGACCTGACCTGGCTGTTAGCCACTCTAGTAATAACATCTTATTTACTAGATTAAATAAGAAATAGGTAAGCAAAAACATACAACAGAAGGGATTCGCTGGTGGTCACCCACCCAACTACTAACCTCCCGGCGTGTGGCTTGAACGCGGCCAGAAGGCGGGTGGGTGCCGCTCAGGTGAGCTAGCGGGTGAGGCCGCTTTATGGTCGCGCGACCGGGGGTGACTTAGGGTAAGTGACTTTTAAGAATAGGTGAGTAATCACCCAGATTATATAATATTTAGTAATCTCACCTGTTAAAACTTTGTTATCTACTTTATTTTTATATAGTAATAATAATTGGTTTATAATAGTATACTGGAATTACTGAGTCATGAAACTGACTCGAGATTATCTACTTTAGATCTAGCTGCCATATAATTAATTCTATTCCCCTATTCTAGTAGTAAAGAATAGAAGTCTTATAAAGTTAATATAAAAATTATTCTATCTTAATTCTGTATAGAGATTTGGAGTCCACAAGATAATATATTAAGATTAAATATTTTAAACCTAGAATTAGAGCGAAGCTATTTATTTAGATATGATTTAAGTATATATTTCAGGACACAGCGAATTCAATAATATTTAGATATTTACTTATCAGGAGAATAGTATTAATCTTTTATATAAATAGTAGTTTTAGTCTTGCTAAGTTAGAAAAAAAGTACCCTTCTATCTTTTTATATTCTGACCAGCTGTTTACACAATAGTTGATAAAATCAAGATCAGTAATATATCAGTTCCTAGAATTCAATTTAGATGTTACAAGTATTATACTGAACCTGGAATAAATAATTTATATTTTATATTAGGTGAATTATAAAAAATTATATTATATAGAGTTAGAATCTTTTATTCTAATTACAGCTGCTCTATATATAGCCCCTCTCAGTCTTGTATAATCTAATTATTTCTAGCCCCACTGTCACAGTGCAACCCCAGAGGACCTACCCGCCCTGTTCGACCTAACTGACCTGTTTAACCTGCTTAACTCTTCCTACCCCTTGACCGCCCTGCACGTGATCCACAACCCCGTTAACCTTCTTCCTGCTCCTGATTCTGCTTGTAGCTCTTCGAGCTACGTCTTGTCTATGAATCTGAGGATAGCTTGACTGAGTAGCTAGAAGATAGAATCCAGAAGACTTGTATTAAGAGACCTCCAGCCAGAACTGCTAGTCCTACCACCTCGCCTGTGATTAAGCCAGCTAGCCAGCCCGCACCTTGACACCCACTACTTATCTTAAATAACGTGTCTCCCCTTAGAATACTTTTGTTTTCGACCCTCATCGAATTCATAGCTGCAGAATTCTAATCATAGCAGAAGAAGACTGAATATATATAATATATTAAATAATACTTCTTAAGATTAAGCTAAACTTTTAAAACTTCTTAAAAAGATACTAAAATAAATACTCGAAAAAGAATCATATATCTTGAATCTTTCTAAGGAATAGAAATATTAACCTAAACTTTCTTAAATTTAAAGATCTATCCTTATCACTTGTTGTATAATATTTCTTATATATTAATATTGTTGCGGGACGGATGGATCATGCTGATCAAAACGTGCCTTAGAACAAGAAGAAATAGCTGAAGAGCTATTTTGTCAGTTCATGTGGATTTATTTTGAGTGTGTGTGCTAAGCTAGCGCTAGTTTAGTATATAGTGTATGAGAATTCTTAGATATTTTTATATAATCTCTAAGATTCCTGACTTATCTATCTCTAGTACTATTACTATATTCTCTCAAGCAACTCTTATAGTCATCCTATAATTATATATCATCCAGATAATATCTCTATATCTACTTTGGGGTATTATAAGGGCTAAGGTGGTGAAATAGCGTGATAAAGAATAGCTCTTGCGAGGCCAAAGGTGCCAATCTATTGCCTTAAGGTATTGTTGCTAATCTGCCTAGTTCGCGAGTTATCCACCCCCTAAATGGGAGGTCGCGGCCCGCTCGCTTAGCTATTACATGACTTATGCCTGAGGCCTACTATATAGATTTCCCTTCGCAGCTATCTGCGATGGTTAGAAGGGCTGGTTTAACCCTTACAACTGCCCCCTCCCCCTCGCGGAGGGGTGTTGCTTCTCGCGATAGCGCCATTAAAACCTC